ACAAATCGGAAAAGTTTCAAAGCTAGGAAAATGGATACCACATGAACTGTCAATAGCTAACTGACAACAACGTCAACTGCTCAACTCCAAAGCTTCAACTGGGAAATTTTACCTCATCCACCATATTTGCCAGATATTGCTCCCAGTGATTATCATCTTTTTCGGAGTTCGCAGAATTTTTTAAAAGGAAAAACTTTTGAGGATGAGAACAATGTAAAAAAGGCTATTTCTGAATATTTTGATTCAAAACCGAAATCATTTTACAAAGACGGGATTAAAAAGCTACCATCAAGATGGCAAGAAATTGTACAAAATAATGGTGAATACATTATAGATTGAAATAAGATTTAATTAAAATTTTTTGTTGCTTTTTTTGTAGATAAAAATGCGCACGAACTTATGAACTGACCTGATAGTTAAGGTTTTAACAAAGTTCAAGCAAATATGTAATTAGCAAAAAACAGTTGAAATAAAGTGATTAAACAAAAATTATTACAAATATCATAAATAACAGTTCACAAATGCATATATAGAGATATTTTTTGGAGGGGGAAATGGTCTTCACAATTTGAAATCGATCGAACGCACGATGAAATGCTCGTGTACACTCACGCCATCTATCATAGGATAAATGTACTATGCCAGAAACCTTCACAGGAGTGTATTAAAAAACTTCCCAAAGTTTCATGGCAATCGGATAAACAGTGTGGTAATGCATGAAGGACAGACAGTCAGACAGACATACAATCATTTTTATATATACAGATAATTAAGACATTTTCTCAGTATTCTCATACTGCAATTTTTTTCCTTGATTTTTGAAAAACAGAAGAAAGTATTGTTGTTTTACTGATCAGACCTCAATAAGATTCTATAAAGTATGGGATCCAAGACAAGTTTTCTCATTGTCGCTCCTTATGGATAACTATCCACAGAAAACTAACATTGTGTTGCAGGTGGAAAGAGCATACAATTTAAGTTTAAAACAGTTTAATATACACATTTTCAAATTAAAAGTAAATTTTAAGCTTTAAATAAAATTAAGCTACCTGTAACTGCAACTGTATATGCTTCAACTGCAGTCTGAAAAAAATAATACAAAGTTAATAAATAAACAAATAAAATTCATTGAAATTTTATATTTTGAATAATCATATATTGTAAAGCTTAGAAAATCATAAACGTCATGTATGAGAAAAATTGAAGTTATCAATTAGATATGCTATATTAAAACATGTACTCTGCATTGTTTTCTGCATACAATGCAGAGTACATGTTTTCTGCATACAGTAATACCTTGACTTACGCTACCTGACTTACACGAACCCAGAGTTACGCGATTTTCAAATCTCGTCGATTTGTCTTTTGTTTGAGCACCATGCAACTCTTGATTACTCACTCCCCGACACTATTGTTCAGCTTACATGTTCGGACTTGTCATGCAGAATCAACACATAAATAACACAAAATAAATTGTAGCTATTTCTGTGTTTGTTATATCTACAGAGATTTGAGAGACTATATGTGGTGATTTCTTGTAACTGTGAATGAATCAAAAGACGCGATAAGATTAACGAGAACATTTATTAGCTTAATTAATAGTTAAAACTCACTGTGTTCAGCATTATTAATCGTTTTTTTCGTTCATTTGAGCGCTTTCGACGAATGTATTTCCGTCGTCTTCAGGCGAATAAAATGCTTTAATCGAACATGAACATTCGAGAGAAGAACACATAAAAATTTAAATTTAAACAATTTTTCGATATGAGTCAGCTACGATTTGAATTACATACGATGTTACGAATATGTAACAAATCGTACGTAATTCAAATCGTAGCGGACTCATATCAAAAAATTGTTTAAATTTAAATTTTTGTGTGTTCTTCTCTCGAATGTTCATGTTCGATTAAAGCATTTTATTCACCTGAAGACGACGGAAATACATTCGTCGAAAGTGCTCAAATTAACGAAAAAAACGATTAATAACGCTGAACACAGTGAGTTTTAACTATTAATTAATATTACTTGGCGTGAATAGCATATTAACCTATATTTTATTAGCTTACATACATCCAACTTGGATTTTACATAAATTGTGAAATTATACCTCGACTTATGCGGTCATCGCTCGGTCCCACCTATTGTGTAAGTTTGGGGTATTACTGTATGTTCTTTACTATTATGCTAAAAGAGATCATTTTGGAATTCATTGATTGTACTTTCATTTCAATACATATTAACTCTTCCTATATGATTTTACAAACTTTTATGATATTTCTAATATAAAGCAGTGATTCTCAAAGTATGATCTGTGTGCATGAGCATCAAACGAAGAAGGACCAGTCTGTGGACTAGGTAGTCCACAGACTGATCCTTCTTTTGACGCTCTATCCATTTCACATGTTGGCTGTTGTCATGGCTAACATATTCCTATTGCTGGCTCTTCTGAACAGTTCTTCCTATTACATTTCACACCAGTCCCTCAGGTTTTTCAGCCATGAGATTCAATGTTGCCCTGGTCCTCTTTTTCAGAGATTTTTCCTTGAATAATGAGTTGTAGGATTCAGTGCTTGACACTCTTTCTCATCACATGGCCAAAGTATTCCAACTTTCTTTGTTTGATGGTGTTGAGCAGTTCTTGTTGTTTATCCATTCATCACAATGTTTCTGCATTGGTCACATTTTACCCAAGATACTCTTAGAAACCTTCAGTAAATCTCCATGAAAACATCTGAAAAGAAGATCAAAGCCTTCAAGGCTTTGATCTTCTTTTCAGATGTTTTCAATATGGTCCAAGATCCAACTCTGTACAATAGCATTACTAATACATAACATCTGATTATTCTAGTTTTCATATCAAGGATAATCTCTAAAACATAGCATTTTCTCATTTTCATAAAAACAGTTCTTGTCTTTTCTATTTGCACTTTGATCTCTATATCACGATCCCAGTTATCATTTAAGATACTTCCTAAGTAATTAAATTTTTCTATTCTTTCAATTTCTTTTGATCCAGTTATCAACTTGCCCTAAGTTGATGTCTGACTTATGACTATATATTTGGACTTTTTAACGTTGAGATCTAAATCATATTTTTCGCTTAAGGTTCTGACTCGATCTAGCAACATCTTTAAAATTTGTGAAGAGCAGTGCCGTGCCACCGGCATGATAAATGCTATTCAAATATTCTCCATTGATCAGCCTGTGCTTCTAAAAAATATTTTCAGAGTATACATTAAAGATAATTTGCAGCGTTGTTGTACACTTCTGTGGCTCGGAATTTGCTCTGTCAGTTGACCTTCCACCCTGACCTGTATGATTTGATTCCAATAAAGGTTGCTGATGATTCTGACATCTTTGTTGTCAATGCCAATTCTCTGCAGTGCCTGGATCATCTTTTCATGTTGGCATCTGTCAAAAGTCTTTGTATTAATCTAAAAAAACATATATGCATGTCACATCTTATATGAGATCTTTGCATCTTTGTATGAGAATATCAACAGCCCTCTTCAGAAATTCGATCTTCCATTCCAATTTGCACATGTGCATCTTGATCTTGTCAGAACCACTCTCCCTTCAGATGGATCTATCTAATTACTCACCTGTACAGACAGATTCACAAGATGGCTCAAAGTTGTTCTCCTTTACGAAATCTCTGCTGAAACAGTCGCTTGTACCATCATCTCTCATTAGATCTCCAGATTCAGTGTACCTTCCATCATCACCACCAATCAAGGCCAACAATTCCAATTGCACCTGTTCACCTCCCTAACAGCTATGATGGATGTCCAGCACATACGTAAGACACCACATCACCCATCAGCCAATGGTTTCCATCGTTCCCTAAAACAAACTCTCAGATGTCACAAATAACACTAGATGGAATCCCTCCCAATCATTCTTCTTGGCCTTCAATCTGCATTGAAAGAAGACATCAATGATACTTGTGCTGAGATGATGTATGGCACAACCCTTTGTCTTCCAGCAGCATTCTTTCATCCTTTGCAGGAATCACCAGTGGACCCAGACATGGCCAACATACTGCCCATCTAATGAATTTATGTGGCCTGCGATCAATCTTTCAATATTAGATACTGAAGTCCGAATAGCTCAATGAAAAAATTCTGACGCCTAAAAAAGAAAAAAAAAAAAGGTCAACAACACAACAACACATTGTGCATTTAGAGTTATCCCTCCATTACAAATCTCGTAAGTACAGCGTAGAGTGTTGATAAAGCATGATAATGTGAAAAATATATCTGTAATCTCTATCTACAATTCAGTCTCTACGAGGTGACACCACAATGAGGTCTCACACTACCTCAAAAGCTTCCTAGGGCAGCATCTGGCTTGGCCCTTGGAAAAAAGTTTTTTTTCCAATTTGGCCCGGGAGCAAAAACTGTTGGCCACCCCTGAGTGGACCTTTCATCCTTTCTCCATCACCTACGGTCCACAATGCAGTATCTTATGCCAACTCCAACTTTTGCACATGTAAAACTCTCACACTTCATTCACCTGCTTGCATGTTTTTGTATGGATAGAAGGACATAAAACTTCTCTGACTCCCCTTATGACAGCCCCTTCTCAGTTATCACATGGACACCAAGCATTTCATGATCTTCACCCACAGAAAAACGATGACAGTTAACATCAACCGACTGAAACTGGTATTTTTGAACAGCAAAAATGACAGCATACCATCAAACTTGTCATACAGGACATCATGCCCAAGCTGTCCAGAACAACTAACTATAAACACACAGAGTGAGTCCACACATGCCAACACAATGACATGATCAGGAAGGAGGGACCTCTAGCTTCGTATCTACTGTACTGAGGGGGGAGTACTGTGCCGATGTCACTGGTCATAAGTTGCCACCAGAGGAACTTTTTGGAGTTCCTCCAAAACCTCAATGGATCTGGCAACACTGATTTAAAACCTTGGTTTGGACCTCGTGATGTCTACATGCATTTAATACTCTGTCCATTCAATATTACTGCACCGCACCTTATGTAACCCAAAGGAATAAAAGGCTAAGCTATTAACTCTTTTTTTTATAGCCTAGTATTGTACCATAAGACAATTCATCATTTCCTCCATATGGAACTTAATAATTATTTACAAGCTAGTGCTAAAACTTTATTAAATATTGTATAATTTGTAACTAAGTATATGCAGCAAGTTTTAATAAAATATTTAGTTGAATTTTTTAAAAAATTTTTGAAAAACATAATAAGTATTTATTTGTTTGTCATATTCTAATTTAGGGATGGTAAACCTTTTTGATTCTGCATGCTTCAAAGTAAGCATAATTATTTTTTAAAATGTTGCATGCCAAAGTTTTAGAATTTAAATAATAATTTTTAAATAAATGTAATAAACATTTTAAAATGAAATTCTATGTAAAAAAAAGAAGCTGATTGAGAAAAGTACGATGATATACTGAACTGAATATAAAATAATAATAAAAACTGAAATTTAACAATAAAAAGTAAACAAAATTGTATATGTTGCATGCTAGATAATTTCTACACATGGTAATATGTGACATAAGTTTGCCATCCCTATTCTAATTCATTAAATAACCATAGAATGAACTTCATACTTACAAAGGCAGTTAGTAAGATATAATTTGTTGGAGTTTCTCTTCTTTTTATCATTAATGCTATTAGAAGAATAATTGACAACAAAAATGCCACAAGCACCATCCAATGACTAAAGAATAAAAATTCAAAAATTATTATAAAAAAATATATATTAAAAATTTTTAATTTTCAATTATTTAAAAACAGAATAAATATAAAATACTGTTAATACTTGATACAGACGCATTTGGTAGTAAACTAAATATAGTTATCATATATCCTCATTTATATGGACACATCCCCATTTTAAGGTAAAAATTATCATCCGCATATGTTTTTGCAAATTCCATTTTGTCCACATTTCTAGCAGCGGAACATTTTTTTCCCCTTCATTTTGGCAGTACTCCACATAAAAATGGGAGATTTCTCCTATTGATAGCAGTGCTTAATTTAGAATTTAGTTTGCTATCGGTCTCACGGCCGTATTTAGTCTTAGGTAGAGTTTATCACCTGCTTAGGGCTGCACTCCCAAACAACCCGACTCTTGAGAGGTCGAATCGTGAAGTGACCGCGGCAGCTAAGGGCCTTGCACCCGCTCTGGGCCAGAGCTCCGGTCAGGGGGACTTGTACCGCAGTTCGATTTAGATCAATTATATTGGCAATTGAATAGAGTTACAATTTTTTATATAATATTTTTAACATTGTTTTTCACTTTTATTTCTAGCTTTGATTCCGATCTTCTACTGGCAGCCAGTTTCACTTTTTGGTCACACATCTAAATTAATTGATACAATTGTTTGCTTAAATTTACTTACCACTTAAGTAGAAATAAGATTTTATTCTATAATCATTCATTCATTTTAATATTCGAGATTTGCTACCAAAAGAATGTGATAAAGAAGCCAAAAACATTCATCTAATTAAACTGTTTGTGCTTGAATTTATGAAGGTTGTCTGCTTGTCTTCTAGAATTTTTATTCCAGTTTATGAAAATTTTTTAAATAATAGATGTTTAAGGAATCAGAAAAACATCACTCATTGTCTAGAAAGTTTCAAGAACATGGTTTCAAGTTGCATGCATACTATTAATGATTTTATAATTAATTTTTTAATTTTAATTGTTCCAGATGTTCAATAAGTATGCTAAAGAGAAATTATAAATTTACAGACAAACAAACAGAAAAATACTATGTTTTCTTTCTGGAAGATAAGAACAGGAAGCTAAATAAATTACTTGTAGTCCAAGAAGGTATTTGTCAGTCTTAAACCACTGAGTGGAAGATTTAAAATTACATATTCTCATTGAGAAATATTTGAAGTTTAACATGGAAATTGACAAATTTATTTACAAATACATAATGAACTAGGGGACAATAAGTACTATAGTATATAAACAAATTTACTTTTGGCATTTCATAAAAGAAATATTTTACAATTAAATCAGTCAACATTTGAAAACTAGGCCTGGAAAAAGCATAAAAATCACTTTGGTCTATCTCTAGTTCTGATTGTATGTAGTAATGTTAATTTTCTGCATCTACTATCAGATAGTAAATTTTGTCTGAAAAAACAGAAAATTTTATTGAATTTTTTTACAAAAAGTTTATATTTTCAATCATATTGTCCCTTATTAGATATAACCTCACGACACCTTTCAGGCAACTGTTTGATACCCTGTTGAAAAAATTCTCTTGGCTTAAATCAAAAAATACTGACACTGCCTTTTTGAGAATTTCCTGAGAATTGAAGTTCTTTTCAATAAGATAATTTTGCAAGCTCTGAAATAAGTGGTAATCTGAGGAGCAATGTCTGGGGAATATGAGAGATGTATCATTTTTCCCAGCAAAGTTCCAATTTTTTAAAGCTGTGTGTGTGGATGGACATTATCTTCATGGAATAGAACATATCACCTATTGACTGCTACTAGACTTTTCTTGCAGAGCTTTCATCAATTGGTCCATTTGCTGACAGTAAACTTCAGTTGTGATGGTTTCATTCCTCAAATGTATCACACCTTGGATATCCCACCAAACAATGAGCAATGTCTTCTTTGAATAAAGACTAGTTTTTAGCTGAGGTACTGTTTTATATCCAGGAGTGAGCCACCAATGACAACATTTAATACAGGTATATCTCGCCTTACGTTGGTAATCGGTTCCAGGAGAGGCGACTTAAGTCGAAAAACAATGTAAGTTGAATTTACTTGTCACTAGGCTAAACCACAAATAACCATTCCTAGTTCTGTATTTTATTTATAAATGCATTTTTAATAATATATTGTTAATAAGAATCTATTTTAAGCTTACAAACAAATAAATTTTAGTTTTTAATATAGTACAGAAAAAAGTAATCTAAATTTACGAATTCATATATATACAGTACATACTTGTAAATGTACATATTTACAATTTGGCGATGTTTACAGTACATCACAGACTCTTTATTTGTGAATGTGGTTTGCTCTAAAATATAAAATAAGATGATTTTGTAAGGTTAAATAACAAATACAGTTAGTTTATTTTCTACTGTTGCAAGATAATTTTAATAATTTATATTAAATTTATCAATATCGAGTGGCACTGACAACGACACCAAATGGTAGATATTGGAGCCACCATTGGAAAACACCAATATTGAGCACTTAAAGACCGCTAAATAAGATGAAAACATCTGTGTTTCTGTGTTGTCATGTTTTGTTCTCTAGGATTTATGATGATTATATTAACATTTACTGTAAATGTACATATTTTAATATGATTTTATGTGCTTTAACAACTTCAATATTTGTGGCGGACGGATGTAAAGTCAAATAAAATGACTTAAACATGATTTTTATTTTTCCATATACTTTTTTGACAAATGACGTATAATCGAGAACGACGTAACTCAAGGTATACCTGTATTCTTATATTGTATCTATTTTTCATCTCCAGTAACGATTTGATCATAAAGCAGAACTCAGAGATAATGTGAGTTCAAGTTGGTGTTCAAGTTGTGCTGATGATAGATCATACAGCACCCATTTTCTCAACTTCAGTACCTTTCCAGATGTTTCAAATGCCATTGAATTGTCATATAACACATCCAGTTCTTGTGCAAGTTCTTGTCCTGTTGTGAAGGGTTTATTTTCCATCACAGTTTCAGTGCATCAGACAGAATTTATGTTACAACCAGAAAGTTTTCTCACAGGCATTTTTCACCAAATTGATTTATTTAGCTATGTTTCCATGATGTATTCATGCTACATGTTATCCAATTGATTGTAAAAATTTTTTCCCTCTTATCATGGGACCTTAAAAAACTGCTGTGGAAAACGACCACCTTCATTCAATCAGGTAAAATTTTTCTTTATTGTCATGTAATCACATGCATAAGATGATGATTTTCTTCTATAACAGCATGGAAAACTTTGATGATGTCATGAGGTCTCTTACAATTATTGCAACATGACATCATCAACGTTTGTTAGCTATGCATGACAACAATCACATATCTGGTCAGCAAGTCATTATGACCTTGAATGCTTGTTTCTATATTTAAATGTTTTTTCAGGTTTATTCTGTGTTTAAAAATACAGGAAAATTATTTCTGGACTTTCTGAAAATCATCTAAACCTCTTATCATTCATTTCCAATTGAACTTGTTCCACATTAACTCATGCTAGTGAAGATTTTGGTGAACCTCCATAGGGACCCCTTCAAATGTTGCAATAGTATTTATTTACAAAATACTATCTTGTAAATTATGGCAAATGCAGAGAAGTTACATCACAAAACTTTTTAGAATTACCAAATTTGAGAAACAGCAATTACATGCTGTGTAATTATGCATGAAAATTCAGCAGGGTGAAAAATTGCTGCTTTACTTGCTAGTTGGAAAACAGTTACGGGCATTCTCCCTAGTGTGACAGCTCTCTTGATGCACTGTACTCTTGGTTGACCCTTTGACCAGACCGCCAAGACTCATTTACCCACCATCCATTTCAGACATCACTGCAGTAAATGGAAGGAGTAAAGAGCCCAGGGCTATCATACATCCAAAAGTCTTCATGCAACCTTACCAAGCAGGAGTATGAAATTGCTCCTATATTCTCTGGTTATATTTTGGTTTCAAACCTTGTGTTACAAACTGATATCTTATACCTCACATATATCTGAGATCTAGAAGTTAGATTGTAGGTCCTTTTCACTGCATATTAATTGGTAGACAGTCAAGTTTCATTTATAACATTGTCTGTTTTTATTCGTTTTTACTATTGTTTTATTAAGAAAGTTGAAAGGAAAGGTTGCAAAAGCATAAAACTGACCACAAAAGGTTTGCATGACAGCTTTAGCCACCCACACATCAGAACTAGAGATAGAGATTCTCTTTCAAGATGCTGCCCTGATCCATTCAGTCAAAGAGAGAAATAATTTAAGAACACTAAAGGAAATGGAGATCTATTTCTCTGGAAAAAGTTTGAGTTGTATTAATTTTAAAAATTATGGCACCATTTCCACTGCCTAGAAAACCTTCTAGATTTTCACCTAAACATCAAATTTTCAGCAAAACACCCAAATTCAATATTCAAACATTTCTGGCCTTCATCAGGAAAAGTCAAATGAAAATAACTGTTCTATTTATAGAATGTTGCCGTGTTGTACATGTAATTAAAAAAAATTTTTTTTTTAATTACATGTACAACATGGCAACATTTTTTTTTAATCGGTTGGAATGTTGGCTGTGACATATATTAAGCACCATATAATTTCCTTTAAGAGTGTAAATAATACTTCCATGCGTTTGGTATGGGAATGTAATCCGTGTTGATGCATGTTTCTCTTATGTTGGCGCTGTAGATTTCTGCAGCTTTTAATGTTCTTATATGTTGTCTGTCGAATACCTTGTGTATTAGGGTTGTCTCCTCCCATACAGGGTAAATTCCTGGCTCAGTGGCATACCAGGCCAGGGCCAGTATGCCACTGAGCCAGGAATTAAATGTTAGGAGGAGGAGTTAAATGCAGACAATCTAAAAAATCAAGGATCATGAGAGCTCGATGGTATGAAAATGGCGATATATGTGGGTTTCCTGTAAATGCCTATGCTAATGCAACTATTACTCAACCTTATGTCTATGTCTAGGAAGAGTGTTTCTATTTGATTGTGTTGTTTCAGGTTGAGAAGTAATCCATAAGGGTTGTTATTGAAGTCACCAAATAATTGTTGTATATCAGGCTTGTGGTGCCATAAAATGAAATTATCATCCACAGATTTTGAGTATATAGTGATGTAATCTTGGTATGTAGGGAAAATGGAGGTTTCCAGCTTGCAGATGACTAATTCACATAAGGTGCCCAAAAAGGAGCTTACCATCAGAACTCCCATTTTGTAAGAAAGTATCACCTTCAAATGTGAAAAATAATGTAAGACATCAAAGGCGTTAAGGAGCATAACATGTATATACAGTAGAGCGTCGATTTTCCGAATCAATTGGGGACTGGGGTTGTTCGTATAACTAATATTTCGGATAACCGATTTATGTACGAAAAAATAATTTAACATATCCGATGTTGAAATTTTTCTTCGTCACGTGTCGCTTCGCGTTGAATTTTCGTCGATGTTAAGCCTAAGAAAGACTATTGTATCATTAAANAGTGCTGCAACATCAGCTTTAAGGAAACCAGCTGTATCACTTGGTGACAGTACTGATCTTAGAGTTATATTAAGTGTTTTGTATACATTTGTAGAAGTAATGAGAGTATCAAGTGAAAGTGATACTGATGAAATTTTAAGGCTAGCTGAAAATTTTCAAAATGAACTTTGTAAGTATTATTCATATTATACACTTTATATCTAAAATAATTATATTTACATTGTGTTTTTAACAATTGATATACACTATGTGAAATATAAAACTGGTATAAATATGATAACAACTAGATTTTTTATTTTGGTTAGCTCAACCAATGTTTGGTGATGAATTATTAGCAGTGACTCTATTCCAGATGGTAACTAGGTTTTGTAGTGGTTCTGCTCCTCATTTTCCAATCAAAAAAGTATTACTACTACTATGGAAAGTTATTCTTGTGAGTAATTTTATTTATTATTTAATGAATTCTGTTTTTAGACTTAATTATTGCTCTATCATTAACAATTTAATTTGTTTGCATCAGTATGTTGTTGAATTATTGTCATTTTATAAGGAATAAATGATAAAATGATCAATTTTTCAAGTATTTAATTGATGTTAAAATTATATACAGTGGTGCCTCGTATAACGTATGCCTCGAATAATGGACGCTGTGAACAATGGACTTTCTGTTTGGCCGTTACGTGACTCAGGCAACGGACTGGCTGCGAACAACGGACTTTCCGTTCAGCAGTTACGTGAAGCGAACAACGGACTTTCTGTGAAGAAATGTGAATGATGTTTCCACTCTTTTGCTGTTGCCAATGACAATGTCTGCTATTTTTATAATATATTAGTTTTATTAGAATATATTATTAGTATATCTGAAGTACAGAGCTCCCGTTGGGTTTGGCTTGCTCCCTTGTTTATTACGTACATCACCTAAGTGCAAGGTATTTACATTTATTCAAGTATTGTGCAAATCATGGCTCCTAAAAACAGAAAGGTGATTTTAATTGAAACAAAGCAAGAAATCCTCAGAAGGAGTGAAAGTTGACAAAAACTTCCTTGTCAAATGGGGAGAGGTTCAATAGTTTATCAACACTCATTATCCAAACACAGCTGAGGCCAACAGGATCAATGATCTCTACAATGACACCCTTGCCCATCATTTCTGACAGGTGTTGAAGAAGAGAGAGAAACAGACCACCTTGGACATGTTTTTCAAGAAGCCAGCAGCCAAAAAACGAAGGATGGAACCAGAGGAGTTGATTCTGCAAGCTCCGGTAGCATCTCCTGAATCTGACTCCAATCAAAAAACAATAAAAAGAGACCTGCTGCAATGTGTAAAAAGTCTGTATCTGTATGGATGTGTGAAGAAAGTGTACCTCCACCTCCTCTTCACAACATCTGACTACCCGGCATAATTGGTGACTGCTCCATTTTTATTTTTTTTTATGGTACAGTATGGTTATTTTATGCTGCAGGACAAATTATAAGTTTTAACATGTATTTCTATGAGAAAATGCGTTTCATATAACGGACTTTTCACTTAACAGACATGCACCTGGAACGGATTAAGTACGTTATACGAGGCACTACTGTATTTCTTTTGTATTTAAATTTTTGGTTTCATAAAATTTTAATTAATTTTATTTACCATTTTTATTATCATATACAAGTTAATCTCCAAATACATCAAATCAATCTTTTAACTTCAATAATTATTAATTAAAAAAAAATATGTTATCAATCTATTTAAGGCTTTTTCAGGTCACATTCCAAAAAATAAAAACACTTTGAATTTTAATGCCTAACATTCCAAGAAAAGATTATTTTGAAATTTATACATTGCACAGCTAATGTTTAAATATGAAAAATAAAAATAAGAAACAAAATAATAAAAATAATAATTTAAAATTATAACTCAAAAATAATTTCCAAACTAAAAATGATGTAGTCTTCAAAGTTAATACATTTGCCCTTCATTAGGATAAATAAATTTTCAGCTGCTGCAAGGATTTTAAACTGTAGCACTCTCGTGTAGGACAAATTACAGAGGCCTCATTTAACAGAGCATCAGTCCCAGGATCCATTGCATAGGTGGTCAGAACTGTAATATGAAGCCTTTTTTTTTTCTTTTTAAGCCTCAGTCATTCAGACTGCTATAATAAGACACTATGTTCACTACAGATACTATGGATGTTACATTGGTTGGGTGCAACAGTTATTTTTCACCACTCTTTTAAGATGGAGGTGTTTACTGGATGAGATCAAGCCAATAATAGAAATTGGACACTGGACTAAATATATTCTAAGTCACACTTACGTGATTAAGAATTGGATGCACTCAATTGATGGGTTAGATAGATGACAGGCACAACTCTATTGTTAAAAGAAAAGTATGATGTACAGGGACAAGCCACTACTAATTTGAGGTGGAGAGGATATATTATAAATTAAATACATTAAAAATATGATTAAAAATTGCAGTCCAGCATTGTTATGATGTTGCAATAACTAATTGTTTGTTAAAGTTCATTTTTTGTTGCATAACACTTTTGATTTCAAAGTTACTATATTACTTTTTTTAATACATTAGACAAGTTTTCCAAAGTAATAATGGAAAGCTAGAATAGAAAAAGTCTTTAAACTTCAAATATAATATTTAAAACATGAAAGAACTATTATTAAATTATGTCTTGATTTTGTTGATCTAGCACAGGGATCTCCAAATTATGGCTCAAAGGCTAAATACAACCATTGAAGCAAACTTATTTAGCCTGCATGGCTTGTTTTCACCAAAATGTTTTATTGTCAACATTTAAAGTAGTTCAAAGCATATAAATTTTTGTAAAGTCAACTAGAATTGATAGACTGCCACAAATGATTTTTATGTAAACCTTTTTAAAATAGGGAGTTAAATTTTTACAAATTTCTGCCAGAATAGAATTTTAAGTGTCTTAAAAAATTTACCCAGTGGATATTTTTGCTTCTATGTACCTCTATGAATAAATTTTTTGAAAAAATGTATAAAGTCAAAATATTAAATTTCACTTTACCGTGAATATCTAAAGGAGATTTTAACATTAGGTGCCAAAAATTTATTTCCAGTTTTTTTTATGACATTCTTTTGAAAAAGCAGTTGAAAATTTCATATTATATTCCTTGCTATTCAGGAATAAAAAAATCTTAATCTTTGACTGTATCTTTCATACCTTGTCTTTAGACCTATCTACAGCTCACATGATCAGAAAAAAGGTTGGAGACTCCTAATCTCATATTTTTTGCTATTGCTGTTGACGGATTGTTTGAATCTGTATCTCAGTAATTGCTTTTTGCAAAAAGACAATGCCAAGTGACACAAATAATTAATAGCTTTAGTTTATCTTTGAATTTTTTTAATTTTAGTTTTGTTAAAACTTAACATTGTATATGGCATAGTTTTATAAGATGGTGTAAAATTTAATTTTTTTATTATTTAAATATAGCCAATTTCTTTGGTAATTATTCACTCTCAAACAGTTGTTTCAATCATTGATCAAAAAGGAATTATTTCATATATTAACTTAGTGAGTAGAGATTGTTCAATTCTTGGTAATAAGGAGCCAACTTCAAAGGGAAAGGAGTTGTACTTTAGCTTGATACATTTTGGAATAAGAGTTGTATCAAGCTAAAGTATGACTCCTTTCCATTTGAAGTTCATTTCTTATTACCAAGAATTGAACAATCGCTACTCGCTAAATTAATCAAGACCAAACGCAAGGAAGTAGCAGAAAAAGAAGAAAAGCTGTACTTATCCCACCTTTGCTTTATTTCATATATTCCAATAATCAATATATCACTAGAGATTCAAAATAAATCACTGTAATTCTGTAAGAGTTTATGTAAATATTTAAATTAGCTATAATTAACATAATTATTTTGTCTAACAATGTAAAAATTGTACTGTTTTCTTAAATGATTGTTTTATACTTTTAATTTTCAGGAAATGACTGATTCTCCTGATTTGGATTTTATTTATGATGATGCAGATTCTCATGGAAATGAAATTGCAGGTAGGATGTTAATAAAGGTTTGAATTAATTATATAACGTATATTGAAACAAACAAANGCCACAGCACTGGCGAAAATTTAAATTTGTCGACTGGAATTCTTTCGGATGATTGATGTTTCGGATGATTGACTTTCGGAAAATCGACGCTCTACTGTAATGCCTTTGATGTGAATTTTTGCTTGAGTTTGAACAATTGTTGGCATGATATCCACAGTACGTATGTAAATTACCTTATCTTACAAAATGTCTGCATATTCTAATATATTAGAGTAGTAACTGGACGCATTCTCAATGTTAGCCATTAAAAAATCCCTTAAGAAACCAAAAGCATGGTTTGATTTTATGATGGAAACAATGATTGAAAGTCATCTACAGTGAAACATCACTGGCCTCTAAATTGGGCACCAAAACAAACTTTCACCTATCTTAGGGCACAAATTTCACATTTCTACTGTTATTCTAATTTTTATTAAAAAAACATATATATATTTATAAAACATACATACTGTATATTATGAAAAATTGTCATGAAAAGTCTTAAAAGCTACTAATTTTGAACCTCAGAGAGAAAAATTATCATCAAATGAACAAAAGATTTTTCATTAAATGGAATATTTGTTTATGGTTAGACACCAACCAATGCTGAATTCTATCTGCCCGATAGAATTCGGCATTAGACAACTGGGGCAAGACACTGCTATATTACTAAATAAATTATGCAACCAATTTGGCAATAGAGGGAGGCGTTAGGTGCCATCTCTTAATTACATTAATAATTATAATTTTTAATTCTCCCTCTAGTGCCAAATTGGTTGCATAATTTATTTAGTAATATAGCAGTGTCTAGCCCGATAGAATTCAGCATTGGTTGGTATCTAGCTTTATAGTATATAGAGTTTAGCGATGTTGTTTGTTTATATTATATCATCATCTTTACACTTATATAAAGTTTATTGTTATTTTCATCATATAGATTAAAAAGTTAAATAAAGTAAAAGTTGTAAGCACATTTTGTTATTTTATAATTACTCAAATTAAATATCTGACTTGTGATTTGGAGTTAAAAAATTTCAAATTCAATTTTGACTCTGAAAAAAAGGTTTGCTATGATGACCTAGATATTTATGCAATCATTTACAATTAACAGAAAAATCTTCTTTACATGAAACCATGTCAATCTTATTTGATTATTTCTCACAATGAACTATAATATAAATGACACAAGGCTTTCTTTACATCTGTTTAATTCCCTTTTTCATTTGCCGAGAACGCAATTAAATAACAGAAAAATGTTAAAATGTGTTCACTTATGTTTTTACTACATATACTAAATTTCATTAAAAAAATAGTCAGCATATATGCTATATCTTCACAGATTATCTGGCATGCTGATCTATCTGGAGAGACCATAAAATCAGATATTTTCATATGAAATAAAAACCATGAACATGCTGGTTTATCCTCGGGAGTGTTGTCATATCAATTTATGTGAAGTTATACATGCATCTCCAGAAGGCATGTAAATAAAGACCAAATGAGTTATATTGCATGACATCTCTTAGATGTCAGGTTTTATTCTAAAATTGTGCATACAAATAAAGCACACAATAAGATATTTCTGTCATAATTTAAAAAAATTAGCTATTAGGAGGCTAGGAAAAATATATCTTTAAAAATGGAATAAATGTCATCTTAAAATTAATTCAAGTTTTTAAAAAAATGAAATGTTTAAATTATTAATACTTACTTCTCATTTATATAAAATCTTATTAATGGTGTAAACATAGCAGCAGAGGACACAATTGTAGTAAGGAAAAGCTGAGCAGTTAAAATTCCATATACTTTTCGTATGAAACCTAACAAATTTAAATGAAAGATACAGTATTTATTTAATTTTGTGTTAATTTATTAATTTTTAATCAATAATCTATAAAATGATCAAATTTACATTCATGTATAAAAGTAATTCAAAATAAAATGTTTTTAAATAAAAATTTGAGAAATACAGTAATACCCCAACTTACGCGAACCTGGAGTTATGCGATTTTCAAATCTCGTCAATTCGTCTTTTCTTTGAGTGCCACGCAAAATTCTTGATTACTCACTCCCCCCCACACTATTGTTCAGCTTACATGTTTGGACGTGTCGTGCGGAGTCGACACATAGCTACAATTTATTTTGTGTTATTTATTTCTGTGTTTGTTATATCTATGGAGACTTGAGAGACTCTATGTGGTGATTTCTTGTAACCGTGAACGAATCAAAAGACGAGATAAGATTAACAAGAACATTTATTAGCTTACATACATCCGACTTGGATTTTACACAAATTGCGAAATTATACCCCGACTTGCGCGAATTCGACTTACACGGTTTTCGATCGGTCCCACCTATCATGTAAGTTCGGGGTATTACTGTATATAATTATAACTATTCTATATAGGTGAAAATCACATCAGTTTCTAAAAGTATAAAAGAAAATTTTAAGTGATAGTAAAGAATATTCTTCATCTATGTTTTTGGATTTTTATTATTATATCCTTTCAACTGTGATTCTATCATAATCATAAGAATTATGTTTACTTATGAGTAGACTTGGTGATGAAAGAGTTGTTGACAATTAACCGATTCATCACACATCACTGATTTGTTTATTTGAAAATCTAATTTCAAATATTACTTCTCAGGTCTGTAGTACATAAATGATTAAGGTTAAATATTTAAGTTTTTCTTTTAATATATAGCACAAGCACAGACAGTTCATGATATTGACAAGTCGTACTCAATGTAAGTAAAATTTTCATTTGATCATCTGCACTCATGTACAAAATTAAAGCAACACATACAAATGTAGATGTCAAAAATGCAGAAATGTGATGACTCTCCACTGAGTTGAATCATCAAAATGCCTGGCATGCTTGATAAGCTACTGAGCTATTGATATATCAGGAACACTTCCTTACTGTTATTTCTATGTAAACTTTCAGTATACAGATTGAATATGTTTTGTTAAGTTAGGAAGCCACATTAGACGTTTGAATGCCTTTATTTAAATTTCAAGGAAAATTTGTAGATATGCAAAACGAATTTCAGGTGTTTTCAGGTGAACTGACAATGAATAAAAAGAATAAAACATCCAATATGCAATAATATATTTGCATATCTACAAATTTTCCTTGGAGTTTAAGTAAAGACATTCAAACACCCAGTGTGACTTCCTAATTTACAGAACATTTTATAATCTATCTACTGAGAATTTACATAATAATATACAGTTTATTGTCTTTTCACTAGTCAAGTTTAGTTTGTGTGTTCTTTGTCATAAATATCAGTTTAATTAGGTTTGCATAATGGCACAAAGCAGAAAATGGAAAAATAAATTATGTTGACAAAGCCCCAGGGACAACAAATTAATACGTCGAGAGCTATATTTGGCCTTCAGGCTATGGGTTGCTTGTGATTGGGCTGCAATTTGAAAAAATTGTAGACCTATAAATTACTACTGTTGTCTGTCTGTCTTTCCTTAATCTTGAGAACAAAATTAGATTAAATCTGAGACCAAATATGGAAACTTTAGGGGCAGGAGGCTCCAATTAACTGTATAAGAACTTCTGATGCAAACAAGAAGTCACATTATTTCAATTCAAAAATTTTCCCCAAAAGGTGTTAGATAGATGACTGGCACAACTCTATTGTTAAAGGAAAGTATGATGTACAAGAGCAAGCCACTGCTAATTTGATGTGAAGAGCATATATTTTAAATTAAATAAATTAAAAATATGATTAAAACTGAAGCCCTAAATTGTGACAATGTCACAATAAATAACTGCTCATTGATTTAAAAAAACCTTTAGTACCTTGTAAGACCTTCTCTTGCCTGGAAACATATGACAACAAGATTGGGCATGCATGCTATCCTACAACAGATTTGTCCACAGATGTTGCAACTGTTGATCCAGATTCCTCACACTTGTAGATGGCCAAAACAGGCATCTCAACTGCTCACACAAATGCTCAAAGGTAACAAATATGGAGACTGGACTGCCCAAAGAAGTGTGGCAATGTGATGGAGACATTCCTCGGAAACTCTAGCAGTGTGTGGCTGAAGGTTATCTTGATAGAAAATGACTGTTTGTAAAAAGCAGGGCTGTGGAGTCGCATAAAAATCTACCAACTCCAACTCTTCCTTACCATCTGACTCTGACTCCGTTTCATATACATAACAAGTTGGCAAGTAAAAAGGGAGTCGAAGTCGGCGGATTTTTTGACGACTCCGACTCTACAGTCCTGGTAAAAAGTTAACACCTAAAGGTGCTGGATTTCCTGAACACACACCACTATGACATCAATGTCCCTTGCTCCACTACTAGGAAGTACTGACCAACAGTCATATGAGATGGCTTTCCAAACCAACAGTGAGAGCAGTGTGCTGCTTAACAATAATGGTGGGTTGAAGTGCCGACAAATATGGTGGTCACACACTAACATGGTGGTCATCTGTTACCAGTCCATCAATATAATATTCATTAATTAACAAATGTCTGCCACTGTAATTCATAACTGGGTACTTTACAGAATTTAAAAGAATATGGAATGAAAACAGGGCTGAAACAGGTAAAGTACAATATATAAGATAATTGATGTTACATAACTGCTAAAATTTTTCCAACTAAAGTAAGTGCAATATTAAATTTAGAATTATTATAACTTTACATAGAAGGTGATTGATTATACATGAGTTATATATGGTAAAAAGCTCATTTTTTTCAAGTTGTGAAAAGTGGGTAGCAACAAAGTCTTGACTTACATATTGTGTGAAAATGCATGTAGAAACTCAGGTAGTTTCATGATTGATGCATAAAATACTGAAAAATAGCTGAACATAGAACCTAAAAAAACAAATACAAAGAAAAATTTCAAGACAAAATATAGTTGTGACAATTGAAACAAGTTTATGCATAACACAACTGCGTGTAGTAAGTAGTTGTGCAGACAATGAAAACGTCATCTTTATTATTGTGTAAATGATTTGTGTTAATAAGTCTGTTAACTTATTTAGAATAGAACAGAATATTTATTCATTGACTAAGTAAAACAACAAAATATTACAATATTCAGTTATTATTACTCACGTAACGTTGCATAAAACAAAACAATTACAACACAATCAACATAATAACATCAAATAACCACGGAAAAGTTAAAAAAAGATCGTACGATCAAAAATATAAATAAAAGTAATCCCAATTTTGCAACAGTACCTTCAGATCAATGTCAATGTTTTTATTCCTTAGTCTTATTAATACTGGAGTGTTAAGGAAGTAGAAAATATTTGTTTGTTAAAAATCATAGCCAGATCACAAAAGTGTTTTGTTTCGAATCATACAGAGTTTATCCAGTTCGACCAGCTTTTCATTTAAGTCATTTTTAATGTAATTTGCATTGATTTTTTTCTAGTAGAGCCAAAGTATTTTAATATGAATTGAAAATCACATAATATATTAACTCCATAGAAAGATTTAAAATTTCACAAATTGCATCTAATTATATTGCATCCTAAAATATTAATAAATTAGAATCATTGCTTATACTTATTATTAGAAAAAAATTTGTACAATATCCTAAAATTAATTTATATAAAAATCAAATGAAATCAGTCACGTGACCACAATATGGTATAATTAATTACTGTACTTACCCATTCTGATGTAAACATGAGATTGAGCAACATTAGATCCATACATAAAATCATTAACAATAGAAGGTTTAGACGAACCCATGTCTATTATAATTGGTTTATCTGTCATTTTCATTAATTTCTATCTCAATCGAAACGTTTGTTTACAATGATTCCAAGATGATGTTCTTCCTATAACAAACTTATGACACTAACAGTAATACGTTAAGTCGCGCCACCTATACGTTAGGGGGAAAAAATACCATAAAAATTATAAAAGTGTAATATTAATAATTTTTATAAAATAAAATAGATTAAGATATTGTTTTAAACGAGCTATTAACGTAAATATTTTCCATTAGTAAAATTAATTTTTCGCAAAATTGACGGCAGCGACATCGGGCGGTTGGAATGAGGCAACATTTTACTTATCAATCTTATTTTAGTTCAGTAAGTTTTTTTTATTAATAATGCGGTTGGTTTTTGTTTATAAAGCTTTTAAGATCGAGTTAAATATCTTACTCATGCGAAAATTAACTTAAATTGTTTTCTTAGATATTAAAATGTCTTGAATTTTCATTAAGCCTAAATCCCATAAGAAATCATTGTAGTTTAGTTTGTTTCTCTTTCACACAATATTTTTTAAAGATAATTGAGAAGAACAAGCGAAATAAATGACATTTTACACGTGTTCACATAAAAGTGCAACATATACTTGAAAATAATTATTTTAAACATTGCAAAAATATATGTCAAAGTTGTTGTTTTTGTTTATTTATGATTTGAAATAGCTTCTATCAAATTACATTGTTTCAATATAATGTTAATTGTTTTACATATTTTAGTTTAAAATATTAAAAATATATTTTAAACCCTAAACAGTTTATTTTATTTAAAAGTTGGGTAATATCTATAAAATTTCTTTACAAAATTATAATAAAAAAGACATTATCCTGTGCAGACAAGCCTTGATAAGCTATTATTGTAATGTTGGTTTAGTGATGTTTTTGGTGGATAAGTGCGACTGGCAGTTTAACGAAAATGGTCCTCCCTATTGGAGTTTTTTGACCGTTTTCTCGTCGTGGATCGGTAAAACTGCAGATAATTTTACGTGGACCGGTAATTATAAGCAACTACGAATTATTACGCTTGTATATGCTTCTCTAGTGTATATGCTTCTACGTAACAAAGTACGTACAGTAACTCTAGATTACTATTTAATTGTCGCACGTAATTAACTGTGCCGGTGTTGGTACAGTCAAATATTTTTATCAGTCTGATTTATATGATGTCTGTGAGTAATTTCCAATTAATCATATACATATAGTATAATATTATATGTATGTGTATGAACAAGTTACTCGAAAAGAAAAATTAAGAGAGATTCAAATGGACTTTTATTTCTGCAAAATACTCATTTACAAATTGCATTTATGTTACAAAAAAGCATAATTCAGGAGTTGACATTCATGTTTCCAAATGAGAGGGAGAATCCACTTGCTTTTCCCAGAAGGGAGGTTACAGACTTTGGAAAACTTGTAAAAATATGTCTCATGTTTGTTTGCAATAATATAATTTAGCCAGTCAAAAAAAGTTTATTTGTTTGATAGGACTAAAGCTATGGCTTATTCAGACACAAGGCTCAAAGTTTTATTTTAGTAATGAAATTGTACATGAATGCTGAATGCATATATACATGTAACTAGCTGTTACCCACGACTTTGCCCACGATGGTTTTTCAAGCAAACCCCATTTATATTTAGTATTTCAACAACCATAGTAATTGTTATATAACACCTGCTGCTGAGAATCAAACAAACTGTTTTCAATTTGATCAGTTTTCTGGAACATTTACAATTGTTCTATAATCAAACCAATATGCAATAACAAATTCAAATTTAAAATGGTTCAAACATTTGGTTAAAAAATCGAAATATATAAAAATATTTATAACAATGTCTGAAATGTTATCAATTTAATACACCTAAGTACTCAATGAAGACTAAACACAGTTNATATGTCGTAAAATGCGTGGCTAAACAACTCTATATAGACATAAATACCAATAGAATTGTGAAACGTACGGCAATTCGCAGAGAAATGTTCCAGTTACCTGGTCGGCCAGGTTCCATCTCTTTCTTGCTCGTTCGAAAAGCGTCGCGACGATTTTAGGCCGAATATTATATAATACATATACTGTATATGGCGGGAGAGGGGGAAAAAGAGAGTAGATATATAAACTATTTAACGGATGCATCGTTTTTATCTTTCTAGACAGAAATGAGTGTTCCTCAGACTCCGGTAGAAATTTTGTATCAAGCCATTCTTCCGAATTTACCTCAATACATGGTAAGTTACGATTTCGAAAATAATTTCTACTTGTACAGTTTTAACCTAAAAACGTATACTTTTAAAACAGATTGCCCTGTTAAAGATTCTTTTGGCGGCGGCACCCACCTCCAAAGCCAAGACCGAATCCATCAACATCATGGCCGACGTCTTACCGGAAGAAATGCCGTAAATACGCAACAGTTTTTAGTTGCGATTAATTAATTTAACCGGAAAATATACTAAATTAAATATGGTTTTAGAATGACGGTTTTACAATCCATGAAACTGGGGATCGACGTCAATCGGCACAAGGAAATAATCGTCAAGACCGTGTCGGGAATTCTGCTGCTTTTATTAAAACATTTCAAAATAAACCACATCTACCAGTTCGAGTACATGAGCCAACAGTTGATGTTTGCCAATTGCATTCCGCTCGTATTGAAATTTTTTAATCAAAACATCATGTCCTACGTCGGAGCCAAAAACATGTAAATCCTTTTCATTTTATCTCTTCGGCACTCGGCACACATTTTACTTTTCCGATCTTTCAGGATTTCGGTCATCGACTTTCCTGCCTGCGTCGTGGGAGAACAACCGGAACTGACGGCCGAAGTGCTGGTGAGAGGTGGTTTTACGTCTCTCCCGTTTAATTCAACGGCTCCGTTAACGTTTTCATTTTTTTTTTTCAGGAAATGGGAGAACAACTTCCATACTGTTGGAGGAATCTCTTTTCCTGCATTAACCTGTTGAGAGTTTTAAACAAACTGACCAAATGGAAGCATTCTAGGATAATGGTAGGAGCGCGCGGTTGCCCTCTTAATTCAGTAGGAAATGCCGGATTTAATGGCGCATTCTTATTTTCCTTTTAAGATGTTGGTGGTGTTCAAGTCGGCCCCGATTCTGAAGAGAGCGCTGAAGGTAAAACACGCCATGATGCAACTGTACGTCTTAAAATTACTTAAGATGCAGACCAAGTACCTGGGTCGACAGTGGCGGAAGAGTAACATGAAGACTATGTCGGCCATATATCAGAAAGTCCGTCATCGCCTGAACGACGACTGGGCATACGGAAACGGTAGGCCATTTTACTAAATATATTTAAACGTTACGTTACGCGTGGTTAATTTCGGACCGCGCGATTCCTTTAATTAGATCTAGACGCTCGTCCGTGGGATTTTCAAGCGGAAGAGTTCGCCCTTCAAGCCAGCATCAATCGTTTTCACAACAGACGTTACGATAAAAGCGGAGGAAGTTCCGATCCGGATTTCCAACCGGTGGACAATAACTTTCTCAGCGTATTGGGAAGAGAGATCGAACTGACCGAAGAGTTTAAGCAGCATTACGAATCGTGGGTCAACCGAGAAGTTTTTCAAACCAACATCGATTGGGATCAGCTTCTTAATTATAATTATCTATAAATTAAATTGGATTCTCTACTTATATCAATATATATATAAATACGTAAAGAGAAGGTTTCCGTATATTTAAAACTTCCTTCCTATTATAATTAGAATCGTCCCGCACGTTACATTTATATATATATTAATATAAAAATTCCGATTTCGTGTATATAGTATTGTTCCGAGTAACGTTTTTTTTAAACGAATTCTTTAGTATGCAGATTTTTGCGCCCTGTATCGGTTCGAATGAGTAAGAGTGATTTTTTTGACATTACGTTATTTTGTAATATTGTTTTTAATTTAATGCCCGATGGCCAATGTCTCGTCGCGACCGTAGGAAAAAGTATGTTGTAAAGTTAAGTGTAAACGTCGCGCTTTTAAAATTACTGTATTAGAATTCTTGTTTTAAGTATTAAAATTTTTATACGGTTTGAATGTTTTATATTCGGTAAATCCCAAATTTTTGTAATACAGTAGAACCTCCATTATCCGGATTTTCGATTATCCGGATTGTTCAAAATAAACAAAAATTTTACGAATTTGCTGATTTGCACTTGGCGAATTACGATACTGTTTATGTACGTGATGGAGTGCATAACATTTTTTGTTTCAACAACGTCTCACCCGGCACAGTGGCCGTAAACTCTTAAATATATTTTACGTAGTAATAAAAATATAACTTGACATACGTATTTANATTTTAATTTACAAACATAGAAGTGAGATACGTACAGTTAAATTATTATAGCTATAGATGTATTAACAACCTAAACAAATTTACTTCAAGAAGTCTGTAATTTTCTTTAGGATACAATTACTCACAGCATTCTTTTCAATTATCTCTTCAATCTTGTAAAATGAATTACAGTTTATGGTAAAAAAATTTTCTAAATATTTTCTCTCTGTGCTTAAATGAAACTGCATCATCATGAGAAATAGGTTTTATTGATTTGTGAACAATTTCCATTTCATCTTTGTCATGTTCAATCTTCATCTTTTTCCTCTTGTGTTTTTTAACCATATTACATACTTTAACTTAACGAATATCATAGTGTCAAGAGTATGCTGTCATGTGCTTGAGTGATGATGTGTACTATAAGGTTAAGGATAGTCTCTTATAAATTTTTCTTTGATCAGCACTCATTATACAGACTGCTGCTCTAAAAAAGCTGTTGACACTGCTTGTTTAATTAGACTGCTGTGCTGTCTATTGCTCCATTAATTAGAATCCCACTATGTGTAAGCATAGAAGAAAAATTGGAAATGTGGAAAAGTGCTTTTTTAAGTGAATTGTTCTCTTATCTGATGCTCCGTTAAATAGACTTAAGTGTACTTTCTAATTGTCAATTATTAAAGTAATTAAATTTTTAAATTAAACACATAAATGCAAAAATAAATTTTTATAACAGGTATCATTAGGTGGTACAGAAGAATTGCGGAGGCTAAAGAGTAAATATCGAGAAGAAGTCGGACTACCTCCGGTGCCCGATGATACTATTGAAGTAACAAGAACAATGAGGGCAGCTTCTCCTCCAGCCTCGGCTGCAGATCTCCTCGAAGCTCAGCAACAAAGGAAAAATAATCGGCCATTTAAAAGAGTAGCTGTCAAAATTTAATTTAGAATATGGATTAAGCAAATAAACATTACAGATTGATTTAAAACTTATTTTGTAGAGTTTAGCAAAACAAAGTAGTATGGATGATTCCATGGCTTTTCAAGATCTAGATGCAGACAATGGCACCGATGATGAATTGCGAGATATTGAGGAACGACAGATTGTAGTCGATGACAGAATAGAAGCTGATGAACCTCGACCTCCAACACCTAGACCATCTACTCCTTTGCCCAATACGGGATCTCAGTCTATTCCCGTTGCTAATAAAGGTTTACCGTGGGTACCAAAAGTAAGACAAAAGGATATAGATAATTTTCTCGATCACACTAGAATGAAGTTTGTTGGGTTTCAAGTAAATAATGACCATACGTCATTGGCTGGCTTACCTCAACCAATACATGAAGGACTTAAAGTTCTTAAGCAGGTTATTAATAAATTTTTATTGATTACTTTTAGTAATTGTTGAATCATGAAACAAAGTTATAAGTTTAAAAAGAAGAATTTACCAGTACATTTGACCAAACTTTACCTCTAACTGCATTTAGTATTCCATTATATAACTTTGTAATAAATTTACAGTAGAGCCTTGATTATCCGACCCCCAATTAACCGACCATCCTAGTCGGCAAATTTCAAATATCCGCTAGTCATGTGGCGCTACAATATTTGGCTATGTCTTGGCTACTTTAATATTATTTTTACGTGTTTTAGCTGGCAACACTCATTCAACCATGAAAGGGAGCCAGTATTTAAACAAGGCNTTTTTAATTCATGAAAAGTTAGAAATTTTTGTTTTTAAGCTATTCTAAATTTAATAGCTTATTATAAAAATTTATTTTTATTTGATGTGATTAAAAAATAGTAATTTTTCAAGAAATTTTTGGATTAACTTTATAACTAAATTTTTAATAAAAAAATAATTGTGCATGGTATTCTTTAATATCTGTTATTTGCTTTGCACTATCTTATACTGTATTCTGATCACCAGCAGTTTTGTAGTTTCTGTGTACTGTAGCTAATAGTTAACTTAGTTGTTAAAATATAATATCTTCCTTAACATTGCAGCTATTTAAAATGGTTTTAATGTATCATTATTCTTTATTTGTTTATCTCATGATGTGTTCTAGAAAGGAAAGTGGTAATGTTATAGTGACTTGTAGGTGATGTATTAAAAAAAAGGAGATTGATTTTCAGCTACATATGAGAAGTGTGGTGTTATCTTACCTCTGGTTGCAAGCAGGCCACAATAAGGATCTGAAGCTAAGATGTTAAAAGTCGTTTTCAAGACTTTTCATCTTATATATACAGTTGACAGTTGTGAAAGAGACAGCCTTACCAATATGTATAGTCGGGGGGAGAATAGGAAAAGGGATCACATGAGGACTGGCTGGGAACTGAATATTAGAGATAGCAATCACAAATACAAGACTGATGCAGCAGTCTAAATATTACATAGGAGATACAATAATCAAAAGTACAATTAAAACAGAGAATACATTTTAGGCACAATTAAAACAGAAGAATACATTATAGCACAATTAAAATAGAGAATACATTTTAGGGTAGGTTGAACATACAGTAGAGCATCGATTATCCGACTCAATTGGGGACTCAGGTTGGTCAGATAACTGAAAAATTGGATAACCGAAAAGAATGAAAAAAATACATTATTAGTATATCCCATATAATTAGTATATTAGTATATCGCTATTAACCAACTTTGCGTAAAATTTTCATCAATGTTAAGCCTAACAAATTCTTTAAAAAAATAATAATTGTTGCTATTGTATTGTTAAAAATTATTTTTAAATTATTTTATTGCTCACAAAACAAACAACCACCCATAATTAGAAAATTAAGTCTCGTTTAAATACTGGCCTCCCTTCAATGGTCCAGCCAGTATTGTCAGCTAAAACATGCAAAAATTTAACAAAAATAATATTAAAGTAGCCAAGACATAGCCAAATATTGTAGTGCCACATCACTAGCGGACATTTGAAATTTGCCGACTAGAACGGTCGGTTAACTGATGTGACGGTTAATCGGAGGTCGGATAATCGATGCTCTACTGTATATATGCCCTTTACAATTAGCCAAAATAAAATTGTACAGAATAAAAAGTAGATCTTGACATTAGCTTGCAGATGTTAGTAACATAAACTAAGGCTGCTTGAAGTCCTGACCAAAAAACAGCAGCGCTAAGATAGAAACCATGGGATGGGGAGGTTACCCTCCACACACCCCCAGTTAGCTGAGCACCTTAATTTGGTGAATAAAGTCTTTGAATTTTGTGAAAATGTCTTTGCTACTGAGTAGAAGACTTGCTGGACATAGCCACACTTCGTTCTCCTGCATCACTGCTTTTATCGTTTGTTCTCGTACAGAAGGCAACGGAACAGCATGTGGTCACTCGTCCCACTCATCAAGTGGGCAATGGCATTGCCCCTTTGCCGAGGAAACATGCCAGATAACCTTTAAAGTTTCCATGGCTCGTCATAATTTATGTGAATTCATAGGAGGGGGTGAAGTAGGAAAACTTTGCCCTGTTTGCCAGCAAGGGAAGGAAGCAGTAGGTTGTCCTCCCAGTGATACTACTGTCCCAGTTACTCTGCCATCGTTGGTGAATATAGTTGAGCAGCTGGTTCACCATCCAACTGTAAGGCACTTTTGAGTATGTGCTGGTGTCGAGGTTACTTGTAGCCTTTTTGGCAAGGAAGTCTGCACGGTCATTTCCAGTGTTGCCTGAGTGCCCTTTAGTCCAGGCAAGGGTGATAACTGTTGATCCATTGATAGTATCCCTTATAATGGGGAGGTTGACATTAAGATTTTGTATCTGGTGCAGGGCTACCTTGCTATTAGTGAAAATGTATACTGCCTTATTCTTAAAGATTCTAGGTTTCTTATTAATGTAATGCAGGGCCCTTAATGTAGTCAAAGATAGCCTGGTTATTAGTGCAGTGTTCATCCATTTTGAAGTAATGCTGGTGAAGGAGTTCCTCCACCCTTCCATACACTACAAATGAGTCCCCAGTCCCACTTCCTGACTGGGACCCATCAGTGTAGATATGGAGCCCAGAAGAGGATGGAGTAGTACCATTCATCAATATTTCACAGCTGGGACCCAACGCCGGTAAATTGATAATTGGTTAACGAACAATTTGGATAGTGAACGCAGTCTTTAAACGGATTACGTTCATTAACTGATCACCCACTGTAATACATTTCAAAGACATTTTTCAATGTCTTATCAGTAATCTTGAAATAGTGTTCTCCTATATAGCACTACTTTTGTAAAGTACCAAACAAATACTTATAGTTCTTTTGTATAAATATTAAGCAGAGAATCCTTCAGAATCTGTAAATTGTTTAAGTATACAGTATTGCTTAGCAAATGACATTATAATCAAATCATTTGATTTTCAAACTTAAACTTCAAACTTGTGTGCTGTTCCCATTATTTTATATAATTTTTATTGTGTGATATATTTCAGTCTAATGCCATACTTAATTTGGTGCTAATGTCTGAAATAAACAAATGGCGACAATAAATTAAGGTTTGACTACATTTCAGAACTCCGACGAGTAAAATATTTCAGATTTTTTTTTTCGATTTAGAAAAATTGAATAAATTATTAAAAATTTGTTAAGCTTACATGAATTATATACAATAATAACTATTTTGTCCTAATAAATTTCTAATAGGAGAATTAATCAATACACCTTTAACAGTGGGTAAAGTTTAAGCTATTGATAAAGATTATTGAATTAATTCAGCTGAGCAACTACAGTGGCTAGTTTTTTCATTCTTATAAATTTTTAATATTTCCTTATCAATAAATATCGGATAAAAATCAAAAATACCAAATATTCCAGAAAAAGCTTTAATGTGTTATTTTAATTTAAGTCATATAAATATTTTATAATTGATTTTCATTGACATAAATTATTATTATTTCAAATAAAAATTATTTTATAACATATCTTAAAATGATTTTTAAATATCCATAAAATTTTTTGCAGAATTGTACAGTTATACAGAGGATTTGGAGTTTCTATGGAATAAAACAGCATTTGAAGAATTAATGGAACAATATGGTAATTATAAAAAAGTTTTTAATAGAGGGCGAATCAAAATGATGTGAACGATTAGAAACATTTATTGAACAAAAACTTTGTTGATGAAACGAAAAATATGAAACTTTACATTGTTTGAAATAGTAACTGAAACAGTGTTTGTTCATAATGCACCACACATAATGCACAAAATGATATGTGATTTCTTTCTACACAGAAACCAAAAACTAATGATCAATCATTTATACAGTTAAATTATCAGTTATTATAGAATATATATTCTCTTTATACTTTATCTATACATTTTTAAATGCATATTATTTACAATTCTTTTAAAATTATATGTTTCACAGTATATTATAAGTTGTATTTTATAAATGATGTTTGTTTTAGGAATAGTTTGTTTAAATAGTTTTTGCATGCACAAGGAGAACAGATTTTGTTGTTTACTTAATGAATACAAACATTTATAGCAAAACTGATATGGAGCTTATTTAAAAAAGGAACTTAAAGAAAAGGAAGATGTACAATAAGTTGTTAACTAATGAAACTGATTAGAAAATGTAAATGTACTTCAACATATGTGAATATATTTGAATTTGTAAACTAAATAAATTAGAACATAGAACAAGTGGAACAGGTCTGATCAGTCCAAATTATTCTGTAAACCACTTTTACAATTTAGAATTCATTCATGGGTTGCAGTTACAGAAGGAAAACACATGGAATTTTATCATGATCTTGGGGGAGTCATTTTTTGATTGATTGCCATACTTTCCCTCTGTTATTTATAACAGAGTTAGGAAGGTAAAAATATGAGTTTATGACTTCGTTTTTGATATACAAAGTATACAGTGACAATGTTTATGCTCTCTGATGCAACTAGCACACCTAATGGAATTTAGACCTAAGGGTAAAAAATAAAAACAGTATTACATACGCCTATTGGAAAATAGGTGTGAAAAGTTACAAAACACAAGAACAAGGCAGTTGCTATTGATTGCTGTGTTCTTGGATTGTCTCTCTGTATCTTGCCAGTGAAAGGATTGTGTCTCCCTTGGCCTGCAGGTATGAAATACACCTCTTTGTAGCAGCAAGTGCAAAGTTTACTTGTCCATGTTTGTCAAGTACTGTACAAGAATTGCCTCTTCTGTACCTAACTGGTGCAGGGATCATTTCTTTCCTTCCAGCTCCGCTTCAATTCTATTGTGATACGACAAAGTTGCACAATGTCCTAGTTAAATTTATAGACGGAGTTGTATTTGATTTTGTTTAGTGTTTTATAATTTTTGAATTACTTTTTGTCATTGATTTGCATAAATTTATATGAAGTGAATGAAAGTTGATCTTTCTCTGTTAATGTATTTAAATAAATGAAATTATATTCTAACTATTATATAAAATTAATACAGCATGTCTACTTAATTAATCAGTAAGATATATTTTTNGACTACCTTCATCCCCAATTAGTCCGGATAATCGAGGTTCTACTGTATAGGAAAACTCGCGCGGTGTCAAGGTTACGTATTTTAATCTTACGCGTGTCAAAATGTTGAGGAAAAAGCGGGTGCAACGAATACCTTTTAGTTATTTCGTAAAGGTTATAAAAACAGTGTGGCTGTTGGCGAAGCCATTCGAAAACCAAAGATTACTGTAGTCTGTCTGACTTGTAAAGTATTATATTCCCTTTGTGTATTTCTTACGTTCGTAGTAATTTAGCGATAACCGATCGTGGTTGAAAGTCGTTGCGCCATAAACTTCACTAAATCCCAGAGGTATGTACAGTACTGTACAATACATTATTTTGATTGTTTAGTTATGGCAACGGAACACTCGGGCGATCTGCCTGGGAGGGATGCCTTCCGGGAGGTCTTTTTAAGGGAGACTGGCTTCTATTTAGGCGTTACTAACGTGAAGAAAACCCAGAAAACTCCACTAATATATATAGAATAGAATATATATTTTTACAATTATATCCTTTTTTGTAAGAATTATTTTGTTAAATTTTTTGCCACTAGATGCGCTTCGTGCAGCAAATAGAATGTAGACAAATTAATTGATATATAGAAATCTAATCAATATTTTGTGGTAGGATGTACCGCATTATCTAAGTTAAAGTATACGAACGGTGAACGTAACTACCAAGTTTCGTAGGAATTGGTCGAACGGCTTAGGCGTGCGTAGCAAACAAACATCGTCATTTAAATATATAGATGGATGAATAAATAAATAAATAGACAATAACTTGCACAATATAGAACTTTATTTTTAAAAAAAAAACTATGTGGTGGTCCAAAAGTCGACTAGCCAATGTAAAGACTAAATTGTCGTCTTAAGGTTAATCACCTCTAAAGCAATTGACAAATTTTGTTGCATTGTGTGGTTACGTGTCTGATAGTGTGAATCCAGCTTTATTCCACTACTTTATAGCTTGCATGTTTTACAAAAACATCGTACGAAATAAGATCTTTCTGGTTTCATACTCCGATACAGTTGCAAATTGTCGAATTTGATTGAAAAGCGCGGTTACCCGACTTTTGGGCCACCCCGTGTACTTCTAGTCGATAGATTGAAAACTATTCTTTTAAATTTACGAAGTTATTCGTATAGTACTACAAAATATAACCAATAAGTAACGTTCAGTATGATAAAACTAGAAGGAAACATTACGCGCGATATACGATCTACCAAAATGGCTTTCTGGCGTTGTCTCAACATCCGATTCTGATTATTGATCTTGGGACGGAAGTTTGAAATTCTTTCTTCTTCCTACAATAAACGCAATCGATCGATTTCCGAGCAAAGGTAATTCGATATTTTAAAAGTTTAAAACGAAATAAACTTACGTATTTTGTTATCTTATCCGATTCTTCTAAAATGACGTTGACCAGAGCGTACTCCATGAGTGACAAGAAAACGAAAACGGTACAGAAAGACATGAATATATCGATAGCTTTGATGTAAGATACGGGTGGAAGAGATGCTTGACTCTTGGCGTGTTGAGTAGAAAGTGTAAGAAGAGAAGTTACACCTAAGGTGACTCGAGCGGGTACCGCTTCGGGTTTAATCCAAAACGAAACCCACGACATGATGACGATCAGACATGTCGGAATGTATGTATGAAAGAGATAGTATCCCAGTCGCCTCTTTAGCGTAAATATCACTTGCAAGCAAGTGAAGTTACCTAAATGTAAAGAATACGATTTGCGTAAAAATTAATTTAAATACCGTAAGTTTAATGTAAAATACTATCGAAAACCTGTAGAATAAACTTGAGTGCAATCGGCTTTTTCGGTTTTTACCAGATCCAGCTGTGGTAATTCGATATTATCGGCAACTGCTAAAGGAAGATCGGCATCCCAATCGAATATCAAGTCGTCCGTAGTGTGAGACACTAAAAAGTATTTTTTAAAAAAAACCATATAAAATGATGTTAATTTTCTAAGAACGTAATTAAATTTACCACTTACGACTTTCCATTTGAAGGGAGCAAGTCTGAGTATCGTGAGGATAAGATGCAAAGTTCATCGAACACGATAAAACCAACGTTAACCTATTAAAAATCTAATAAATTATAAAATTTTGAACTTAGAAAAAATTATACTTTTATTTCCTTAGGCGGGCTGCACGATACGTATCTAAGCGATACGCGATATTTATCTTATAACCTGGGTATATGAGACTGTGATCATCCGCAGATAATGGATAGACGACAAAGTAGAAAGCCGAAAATTCTTATTGCGTGGGTTAATTCTCTTTACAGTCACATTAATAATTGATCTATCTACGATTTGCGGAATCACCGTTTCTCCCGAAGTCCCCAACATTAATCCGCATCTGTCACGGCGGTATAACAATTTAAAAATAATCTTTATACTGTAATTGAAATAAGTAAAACGTTTGATGTTGAGCTTACGCAGTCTTGTTTCGGTTCGGTTTAAATAATGGTTACAACCAGGGATGCCTATACATTGGGGCACTCCAGGCACGTGCCCGCTTTTCGTATTCTAATCCTCAAGGGGTCCAAACGAAAAAAATTCGCGATTTCTAACCTATTCTGCAAGCATAAAAGAAACTGGTGAACGATATTTGTCCCATGTATGTTGACCAAAACTGCATTCCTTGTTTACAAGGCCAAATGCAATCAGCGCTACCCTGTGCCAGCACTGATTTGACTTTGAATCAGAGTTTAAAGCTTACATTTTACACAAGTTACGGCCGAAGTTTTCATTTCTAAAACGTGAACGTTGAGCGCCGCCATCTTGTAAGCCTAGAAGTTTGACGACGGCGTTTGGAACATCGGTGGAATCATGCTCGACGTTTCAAACGCCATTGTCAAACTTCTAGGCTTACGAGATGGCGGCGCTCGACGTTCACGTTTTAGAGATGAAAACTTCGGCCGCAACCTCTGATGTACGATGCGCTTTTTTATAGCTTGTGCCTCTGTTTTTTAGTACGCACCACTATAGTATTGAATTCACTTACTTCAGAATAATAATAAATTTTTCAGATGGAGAAATAGCCAGGCCTGATGGGTATCACGCTTTTCAAGGTAAGGTGGTACGAGTTGCAATAGGAATTGGAAACTCCCAGGACTCGTTCTATAAAATTCTTTAAATTTTGTTTTGTGTCCAGACAGTTCTCTGGAAATTAAAGCGGAACTACTGGCACGTCAATTAAATTATACGGGTGCACGCAATACTTCCTTTTTTGTTCTTCGAATGCCAATATACCACGACAACGTCGTCATCACACGAAGAGCTCTTGTTTAGAACCGACTCGAAAAATGTCACCTGCCGAAATTATCTTAAGATAAAAGTCGCGTATTGCGAAGATCGTACGGTCGTGGCGTGCAACCAGCCTTAAAAATCGAATCCACTTACTTCACCATATACAAAATTCTTTTATTTTTATAGAGCCAAATATAATGATTAGGTATTGTCATCGTTTGAAATGTAACTTGCTTAGCATTTTTAAAGAAAGAGTCCGGTCTCCACATGTTCTTTAACCATTCCACTTCTATTAATCTATATTCCGACGTCATATTTTCGGGAAGACGTAATCTGTTATCTTCCCACGTTTGGGCGAAAAATACATCCGCTGCAAAAGTCTATAATAAATAACGAAGATTTATTCGTGCGTCGCGTCATTTAATATTTTAAATATGCAATTTACTCACCATCGAACCTTCGTTAATGGAATCTAATCCCATAACTGTTACGTGAAAAAATACTATCGTCGGTTTTCCTAAATTAGACAAATTATACGTGTGATTTCATTTTTTTTTTACGTCAATTACGCATCACTTTTATTTTTGAACTAGACTATTTTTTATTTTTAGAATCTCTAATGAAACAAGTGTGTTAATAACATAAAAGCATGAACTTTTTAACACCAAAAAAGCAGCACTAATCTCTCTTTTTATTTGATGTATTTCTGGACAACCAGCTTTTTGTTGGTATGTTTTACCAACAAAAAGAAGAGTAAACCTGACTGTTAATAGGTCTAAGAGTTTTATTCGTCAAGCCCAGGACAAGATTGCCACGAGTTGGGTGGTGACGACCCGATTCGTGGCAATCATCTTGTGCTGGGTCACAACAATCGTCAAGTACCGTCACCGTTAATTCCGAGCCCCGTCAGTAGAAGTTGATCTCTGCCTTCAGGATGCTAAATTTAGACCTGGATGCAAAATTGAAAGATGCCTAATAGTAAAAAAATGTCTTTGTCTTATTCCATTTTATCAATTTATTAATGATCGATAAGAAATATCGAAGTTCCAGATACACAATATATAGAGAATGAAAGTCAGGATCAATCATAACAGAGTATCGAAATGAAAACGAGTGAGGAACGAAGTTGGTTTGAAGCTATGGTAAAACATTTAATGTTGATGAAGTAGATAAATCGACCGAATACGAAGGAGATGATGAAATAAAATCTACTTAAACTGAAGACGAATCAGAAGAATTGCGACCATTAGGACAAGAAACCATCAGAAAAATTTGTCACAAGAAGAAATGGTTCCATCTAAAGAACATGTAGTATAAAAGATGAAAATGTAACAGCTGAGCAACAAGTAATGCCGAAAGAAGAAGAAACATCACAGGAATAATTAGTAATAGGTTTACCCAAAGAATATATTACACCACAGAAAGAAATAGAAGCATCCGAAGAACACGCAACACCAGAAAAAGTAGTAGTAAAACCTGAGATAAACGTCATATCACCAAATGAAGAGGAAACAAAATTGAAGTTTCTAGAAAGAAAAGTACAAAAGAAGCCGAACTGTGGAAGCTGACAAGATGGAAGATTCTGTTGTAGAATATTCCCACGTGGAAGCATAAGGAAAAATAGATATAATGTTTAAGTTTTTAAATTTTAAAAAGCCTTGTTTTTGGGGTAGTCATTAATGTAATATTCATTAGCCTATATGTCATTAACGCAATACTTAATAGATGACATTTCAGTATTCGCATATACCCATAAGTGACTATGGTATNTGGACACTGGACTAAATATATTCTAAGTCACACTTACGTGATTAAGAATTGGATGCACTCAATTGATGGGTTAGATAGATGACAGGCACAACTCTATTGTTAAAAGAAAAGTATGATGTACAGGGACAAGCCACTACTAATTTGAGGTGGAGAGGATATATTATAAATTAAATACATTAAAAATATGATTAAAAAATTGCAGCCTGGCATTCTAACTATTATATAAAATTAATACAGCATGTCTACTTAATTAATCAGTAAGATATATTTTTATTGAATGAATTAAAAATACATACTAAGGTTCTTTAATCTTGTACTTCTTACCAAAACATTCATAAATTCAAAGAAATGTTTAAAGTTGTTGATAAATTTTATATCAACTATCTGGTTTTGTGTTAAAAAATGCAAGAAAACAGTAATCATTATTATGGTAATGCTAAAATTACTTGCTTGTCTTATTGTAATTATAACTTTCCTATAATGATTAATTTAATTAAAAACAAAAAAAATTAAATACATATGTTAGAATATCCAAAATAACTAAATCATAAGAATTTTAGATTTAGTTTTAATTAATTTCACATATTTTGGCTTAGAAGTTTTACTTTTGACGACTTTTTTTTTTTAACATTTTAGGATATCCCAAAAAGTGGAATGGTTTAGCGACTTCACAAAAAGAAGAAATCATATTACGACTATTAGATGTAATTGAAGTGTCTCAAAGAAACACGAGAATGCATGCAGTGCGTGCTATTCTATATTTGTTGCAGGGAGCATTTGGAGAATGTATGACACTTGATCAACAACCTAGAATTGCTAGAGAAAATGTTTTCTTTCTTTATAAAGCTGGTGTTTTTCATACTTTTGTACAGTTACTCAATATGGAAGTGGAGTAAGAATCTTTTTATTTCTAATAATAATAACAGTTTTTAAGTACTTTTATAAATTAAAAATTATTTTAATATATTTAAAATATTTATAGAAACAGCAGTGCTGCAACATCAGCTTTAAGGAAACCAGCTGTATCACTTGGTGACAGTACTGATCTTAGAGTTATATTAAGTGTTTTGTATACATTTGTAGAAGTAATGAGAGTATCAAGTGAAAGTGATACTGATGAAATTTTAAGGCTAGCTGAAAATTTTCAAAATGAACTTTGTAAGTATTATTCATATTATACACTTTATATCTAAAATAATTATATTTACATTGTGTTTTTAACAATTGATGTACACTATGTGAAATATAAAACTGGTATAAATATGATAACAACTAGATTTTTTATTTTGGTTAGCTCAACCAATGTTTGGTGATGAATTATTAGCAGTGACTCTATTCCAGATGGTAACTAGGTTTTGTAGTGGTTCTGCTCCTCATTTTCCAATCAAAAAAGTATTACTACTACTATGGAAAGTTATTCTTGTGAGTAATTTTATTTATTATTTAATGAATTCTGTTTTTAGACTTAATTATTGCTCTATCATTAACAATTTAATTTGTTTGCATCAGTATGTTGTTGAATTATTGTCATTTTATAAGGAATAAATGATAAAATGATCAATTTTTCAAGTATTTAATTGATGTTAAAATTATATACAGTGGTGCCTCGTATAACGTATGCCTCGAATAATGGACGCTGTGAACAATGGACTTTCTGTTTGGCCGTTACGTGACTCAGGCAACGGACTGGCTGCGAACAACGGACTTTCCGTTCAGCAGTTACGTGAAGCGAACAACGGACTTTCTGTGAAGAAATGTGAATGATGTTTCCACTCTTTTGCTGTTGCCAATGACAATGTCTGCTATTTTTATAATATATTAGTTTTATTAGAATATATTATTAGTATATCTGAAGTACAGAGCTCCCGTTGGGTTTGGCTTGCTCCCTTGTTTATTACGTACATCACCTAAGTGCAAGGTATTTACATTTATTCAAGTATTGTGCAAATCATGGCTCCTAAAAACAGAAAGGTGATTTTAATTGAAACAAAGCAAGAAATCCTCAGAAGGAGTGAAAGTTGACAAAAACTTCCTTGTCAAATGGGGAGAGGTTCAATAGTTTATCAACACTCATTATCCAAACACAGCTGAGGCCAACAGGATCAATGATCTCTACAATGACACCCTTGCCCATCATTTCTGACAGGTGTTGAAGAAGAGAGAGAAACAGACCACCTTGGACATGTTTTTCAAGAAGCCAGCTGNTTTATTTCCAATAAAGAAAAGAAAAAAAATTCTAAATTACTTGATCTTCTTCAGCATAGTTCTCCAACCTATAGCCTGTGGGCCAAATGTTACCCTCAAAGCATATTTATCTGGTCTGTGTAACTCATATTAATAAACATGTTTTATCATCAACATTTGAATTACTTCAAATCATTTAAACTTCTGAAAAGTAAACTAGAATTACATTGATGTTTGCTTCAATTTGAAAAATTTCACCTTTTTTTTATAGTCTGCATTTTGTATGCTGTGATAATGCTGAATGATTATTTAAGAAAATTGATGTGCATTGGAAACCTAAAGTTTTTTGTTTACTATTTCTGCCCAGTGGCTATTAAGAGGGTTATATTTTCCTGCCTCATTTTGGACCTAGCCGAACCCACAATGAGAGATGTTGGGTTCAATGTATCTGGAACAGACCACTTCTGAAAAACTTGTGGAGATTTTCTACCAGCCTGGTTCAAACCTTGATACTCCATTGTTGTAGGCCAATGCCTTAATTAATCACATTGGCTAGCCCATCAGCAAGGAAACCAAAAGTTAATAGGATCAGAGATTTTTGATTAAAAATCTGTAGTTTACAAAATATTTATTATTATTATTAATTGTTTTATTAATGGAAATAATGAAACAATGAAAATACAATGTTAAATACCATAATTAATTCATAATTTTAAAATTAAACACAAACCATTTATATTAAAATCAGAACAAATTAATTATTTTAAACTTGTAAATCAATATGTGTATTCAGCTCCCAGATTTGATTTTATAAATAGAAAAGACTAATATACAATTCTAACAACTTTATCAGTTGTTGATAAATGAGCATTGAGATTTTTTTGAGTATTGTGTCTGAATAACACACAAGTTTGATTGTTTTTTTGTTTTTTTAAACATTCAAACAAAGATAAAATGTAAAGAAATAACTGGGATAAAATTTGGCTTTTGCTATTTAATGGTGTGACTGCTAAATTTTTGTAAAGTTTGCGTAATAAAAACCTTGTTAATGCAGATAAGTCCCTTCAAATCTGTATTAACAAAGTTTGTATATGAAATCAAAATATGAAATATCACCATACAACGAATACAGGATCTAAAAGAGATTTTAATATTGAGTGCCACAAAATTTATCTCCAATTTTGGTGATGTTAGTTCAGTTCAGTTGCAAATTTTATATTGATTTATGTCCATTGTTATTCAAAAATAAGATCTCAAGCTTTGACCGTGTCTTTTGTACCAGGTTCCCTAGATTTGTCTTTTACAGTTCACATGACCCTTCTCGGGCAAAGGTTGGAGAACCCATTCCATAGTGTTGTGTAAATTGATAATGTAACATATGAAAATAAAATAACTTTATTTCTATTGTCTCTAACATAAAAATCTTAAAAATTATCAATTAATATGAATTTATGCGTCTTTTATAAATAAATAATGACTTTTGTGCTTTAATAATAATAATAATATATTTATGTAACAATTTTAATTTTTGGTTTTATAAAAAAATGTGACTCACTTGAATTTAAGGAATCAACTTTTAAGACTAATAAACTAAACTAAATTATTTATATAACAAACTTTCTGTTTTAATTTATTTGACTATGAGAAATGTTTTTAAATATTATATATGTTACAGTGAAAGTGGATGGTATAGTAAATTTGATCTATTACTAGTGACTGTAATCAATCAATGTGGAATGAATCCACATTTACTAGTGATTGTATACTGTCTGTAGTTTGTTTGTTTGTTAACCTTTACAAGCTTAGGTTGTGAAAAGTAAATTTTAAACCTTTTAATTAAAGTTTTTATTTTTTGCAGCAAGTCAGAGTTATGATGTTTAGAAGTGCCATAAAGTACCCCTTTTTTCCATTTACATATAGTCTGGCATTTTAAAGTACAATAACATTTGAAAAAGCCTTCTCTTGTACTGCAAGATTGGGCAGATGCATTTGGCCTTAAAGTAACTGTTCTGCTTAAGGAACTTCACATTGTGAATGCTATAGTACAGATTCACTGATTATTTTAGTGAAGGGAAGGCATACATTTACTGGCCATTCACCTTCACTGTAACATATACAGTGCAATATTTGTTTTTATAATTAATTAATTTTTAAATAAAATTTCGGGATAAAATTATTTTCTTCGTTTTTAATAGCATATGTATACATCTTTAACATACAGAGGATTTGGAGTTTCTATGGAATAAAACAGCATTTGAAGAATTAATGGAACAATATGGTAATTATAAAAAAGTTTTTAATAGAGGGCGAATCAAAATGATGTGAACGATTAGAAACATTTATTGAACAAAAACTTTGTTGATGAAACGAAAAATATGACACTTTACATTGTTTGAAATAGTAACTGAAACAGTGTTTGTTCATAATGCACCACACATAATGCACAAAATGATATGTGATTTCTTTCTACACAGAAACCAAAAACTAATGATCAATCATTTATACAGTTAAATTATCAGTTATTATAGAATATATATTCTCTTTATACTTTATCTATACATTTTTAAATGCATATTATTTACAATTCTTTTAAAATTATATGTTTCACAGTATATTATAAGTTGTATTTTATAAATGATGTTTGTTTTAGGAATAGTTTGTTTAAATAGTTTTTGCATGCACAAGGAGAACAGATTTTGTTGTTTACTTAATGAATACAAACATTTATAGCAAAACTGATATGGAGCTTATTTAAAAAAGGAACTTAAAGAAAAGGAAGATGTACAATAAGTTGTTAACTAATGAAACTGATTAGAAAATGTAAATGTACTTCAACATATGTGAATATATTTGAATTTGTAAACTAAATAAATTAGAACATAGAACAAGTGGAACAGGTCTGATCAGTCCAAATTATTCTGTAAACCACTTTTACAATTTAGAATTCATTCATGGGTTGCAGTTACAGAAGGAAAACACATGGAATTTTATCATGATCTTGGGGGAGTCATTTTTTGATTGATTGCCATACTTTCCCTCTGTTATTTATAACAGAGTTAGGAAGGTAAAAATATGAGTTTATGACTTCGTTTTTGATATACAAAGTATACAGTGACAATGTTTATGCTCTCTGATGCAACTAGCACACCTAATGGAATTTAGACCTAAGGGTAAAAAATAAAAACAGTATTACATACGCCTATTGGAAAATAGGTGTGAAAAGTTACAAAACACAAGAACAAGGCAGTTGCTATTGATTGCTGTGTTCTTGGATTGTCTCTCTGTATCTTGCCAGTGAAAGGATTGTGTCTCCCTTGGCCTGCAGGTATGAAATACACCTCTTTGTAGCAGCAAGTGCAAAGTTTACTTGTCCATGTTTGTCAAGTACTGTACAAGAATTGCCTCTTCTGTACCTAACTGGTGCAGGGATCATTTCTTTCCTTCCAGCTCCGCTTCAATTCTATTGTGATACGACAAAGTTGCACAATGTCCTAGTTAAATTTATAGACGGAGTTGTATTTGATTTTGTTTAGTGTTTTATAATTTTTGAATTACTTTTTGTCATTGATTTGCATAAATTTATATGAAGTGAATGAAAGTTGATCTTTCTCTGTTAATGTATTTAAATAAATGAAATTAGTATTGAAAAGTTTCCAGCATTCGTCGCTATTCCATATTATTTGGTGGTAATGCACTTTCTCTGTTCGTTCGTCTTCACGCTTTTAATCACTAAGTTTTTAATCTAAAGTTAAACTTAAGCTGGGTACACATAACGGTTTATATGGNGTGCATCTTCAATATTGAAATTGCCAGAACGAAATTTTGTAAACCAGTTTTGGCACTGTCGTTCTGTCAATACATCTTCTCCATACACGTCACACAATTTTTTTCGCTCTTGAACAGCATTTTGATTTTTTGGTAATAAAGAGCAAAATATACCAAAAATACTGCTTTCGATCTTCCATGTTTGGTGGGGGACAAAAAATAAACAATTGCACAAAATCAAACAAAATTTTTTACAAATAAGCTTTAATTAAAAAAAATAAAAAAGCTAGTTTGAAAATGTAATTATCTTATTTTTTTGATAAAAACTATTCACAATTACTGAAGATACAATTCGGTAGAAAAGCAGACTTTGAACTAATTAAAACTATAGATATAATTTTTGCCAGCTAAATCAGTCAAATACCTCACTGTGCAATGTTGGCAATGAAGGCTGAATAGATTGTAATTTATAAGAGATGGTTGGATGATACATGTATTAATTAATGGAAGAGACACAGACAGTTTACCATTGGCCTAGAAATACGTGATTAAAAAAGAATATTTTAGAAGCTCCTAATTTACCTCACTAATATTTTATTATTGTATTTCATGCTATGTAATGTATTACATTTTTGGTAGTTTTTTGCATGTATACTTTTCCATTATTATTATTTCAGTTTATATTTTTGATGTTCTACTTTGGAACACTTTGGAACTGTCCTTGCAAAAGTTATGTAAAACTTGAGGATGACATATTGAAAAAGTTGAAAACATTAGTTTGTATAGAAATAAATTATCTCAGCAAGTTAAGGTGCTTTGTGGAGATTGTGTATTGATGTTCAAATACTTTTTCTAACTTCCTTTATGCTTAAAAACTTTTTCCAATACTGCTTTATGTAAAAATTATTTTTTGGGAAAATGGTTTGGTTTATTCATCCGAAATTAAAACAGTTAGCACTTAATAACCCAATGAATAAAATATATATTTTTGTTTCGAACATTACATTTTTATTTTCTTGTAAAATGAATTCAAACTAAACAATTTTATTTTCTTATGTCACGTTCAGATACTTTTTGCCAGGGTTGTAAAAAATTTGGGATTGGTCATTTTAATAAATGAAATTAGTATTGAAAAGTTTCCAGCATTCGTCGCTATTCCATATTATTTGGTGGTAATGCACTTTCTCTGTTCGTTCGTCTTCACGCTTTTAATCACTAAGTTTTTAATCTAAAGTTAAACTTAAGCTGGGTACACGTAACGGTTTATATGGCAGGTATACCTGAATTGTCAGTATTTTTCATTTACGTTTAGGTATACCTCTATGTGTTTACTCGGTTTTAAGTACATTTTATGATTATATGTCGTAAAATGCGTGGCTAAACAACTCTATATAGACATAAATACCAATAGAATTGTGAAACGTACGGCAATTCGCAGAGAAATGTTCCAGTTACCTGGTCGGCCAGGTTCCATCTCTTTCTTGCTCGTTCGAAAAGCGTCGCGACGATTTTAGGCCGAATATTATATAATACATATACTGTATATGGCGGGAGAGGGGGAAAAAGAGAGTAGATATATAAACTATTTAACGGATGCATCGTTTTTATCTTTCTAGACAGAAATGAGTGTTCCTCAGACTCCGGTAGAAATTTTGTATCAAGCCATTCTTCCGAATTTACCTCAATACATGGTAAGTTACGATTTCGAAAATAATTTCTACTTGTACAGTTTTAACCTAAAAACGTATACTTTTAAAACAGATTGCCCTGTTAAAGATTCTTTTGGCGGCGGCACCCACCTCCAAAGCCAAGACCGAATCCATCAACATCATGGCCGACGTCTTACCGGAAGAAATGCCGTAAATACGCAACAGTTTTTAGTTGCGATTAATTAATTTAACCGGAAAATATACTAAATTAAATATGGTTTTAGAATGACGGTTTTACAATCCATGAAACTGGGGATCGACGTCAATCGGCACAAGGAAATAATCGTCAAGACCGTGTCGGGAATTCTGCTGCTTTTATTAAAACATTTCAAAATAAACCACATCTACCAGTTCGAGTACATGAGCCAACAGTTGATGTTTGCCAATTGCATTCCGCTCGTATTGAAATTTTTTAATCAAAACATCATGTCCTACGTCGGAGCCAAAAACATGTAAATCCTTTTCATTTTATCTCTTCGGCACTCGGCACACATTTTACTTTTCCGATCTTTCAGGATTTCGGTCATCGACTTTCCTGCCTGCGTCGTGGGAGAACAACCGGAACTGACGGCCGAAGTGCTGGTGAGAGGTGGTTTTACGTCTCTCCCGTTTAATTCAACGGCTCCGTTAACGTTTTCATTTTTTTTTTTCAGGAAATGGGAGAACAACTTCCATACTGTTGGAGGAATCTCTTTTCCTGCATTAACCTGTTGAGAGTTTTAAACAAACTGACCAAATGGAAGCATTCTAGGATAATGGTAGGAGCGCGCGGTTGCCCTCTTAATTCAGTAGGAAATGCCGGATTTAATGGCGCATTCTTATTTTCCTTTTAAGATGTTGGTGGTGTTCAAGTCGGCCCCGATTCTGAAGAGAGCGCTGAAGGTAAAACACGCCATGATGCAACTGTACGTCTTAAAATTACTTAAGATGCAGACCAAGTACCTGGGTCGACAGTGGCGGAAGAGTAACATGAAGACTATGTCGGCCATATATCAGAAAGTCCGTCATCGCCTGAACGACGACTGGGCATACGGAAACGGTAGGCCATTTTACTAAATATATTTAAACGTTACGTTACGCGTGGTTAATTTCGGACCGCGCGATTCCTTTAATTAGATCTAGACGCTCGTCCGTGGGATTTTCAAGCGGAAGAGTTCGCCCTTCAAGCCAGCATCAATCGTTTTCACAACAGACGTTACGATAAAAGCGGAGGAAGTTCCGATCCGGATTTCCAACCGGTGGACAATAACTTTCTCAGCGTATTGGGAAGAGAGATCGAACTGACCGAAGAGTTTAAGCAGCATTACGAATCGTGGGTCAACCGAGAAGTTTTTCAAACCAACATCGATTGGGATCAGCTTCTTAATTATAATTATCTATAAATTAAATTGGATTCTCTACTTATATCAATATATATATAAATACGTAAAGAGAAGGTTTCCGTATATTTAAAACTTCCTTCCTATTATAATTAGAATCGTCCCGCACGTTACATTTATATATATATTAATATAAAAATTCCGATTTCGTGTATATAGTATTGTTCCGAGTAACGTTTTTTTTAAACGAATTCTTTAGTATGCAGATTTTTGCGCCCTGTATCGGTTCGAATGAGTAAGAGTGATTTTTTTGACATTACGTTATTTTGTAATATTGTTTTTAATTTAATGCCCGATGGCCAATGTCTCGTCGCGACCGTAGGAAAAAGTATGTTGTAAAGTTAAGTGTAAACGTCGCGCTTTTAAAATTACTGTATTAGAATTCTTGTTTTAAGTATTAAAATTTTTATACGGTTTGAATGTTTTATATTCGGTAAATCCCAAATTTTTGTAATACAGTAGAACCTCCATTATCCGGATTTTCGATTATCCGGATTGTTCAAAATAAACAAAAATTTTACGAATTTGCTGATTTGCACTTGGCGAATTACGATACTGTTTATGTACGTGATGGAGTGCATAACATTTTTTGTTTCAACAACGTCTCACCCGGCACAGTGGCCGTAAACTCTTAAATATATTTTACGTAGTAATAAAAATATAACTTGACATACGTATTTATAAATAATTTATATTCAAATTACATCATTTTTATGACCAAGGGCGGCATAAGGCATGGACGACGTGGGCCACAGCCTGTGCCTCGCGGTCCGAAGGGCCTCGCCTCGAAGGTTTATGCATTACTTAAAAGCCACGAACGCGACGAAAAAATTTTACTCGTCATGAAACAATAAATAGTTTGTCAAATTTTTATTCATAAAAATGCAGTTTCAACTGCTTTTTATTTTATAAAATCCATCTTCTTGCGCCACCAGAGGGCTTTTTAAACAATAGGTAGTCTGTTAGCGTTGGTCAGTAGTAGTCCAAATTCAATACGAACGTCTGTTTCTTGAAAATTTGATCACGATTTAAATACATTATTTACTTTTAATATTACTGATATGTCATCGAAAAGAAAACGTGTTGTATTATCATTAAAAGACAAAGTATTTGTTTCGATTATCCGGATTTTTCCTTATCCGGACTACCTTCATCCCCAATTAGTCCGGATAATCGAGGTTCTACTGTATAGGAAAACTCGCGCGGTGTCAAGGTTACGTATTTTAATCTTACGCGTGTCAAAATGTTGAGGAAAAAGCGGGTGCAACGAATACCTTTTAGTTATTTCGTAAAGGTTATAAAAACAGTGTGGCTGTTGGCGAAGCCATTCGAAAACCAAAGATTACTGTAGTCTGTCTGACTTGTAAAGTATTATATTCCCTTTGTGTATTTCTTACGTTCGTAGTAATTTAGCGATAACCGCTCGTGGTTGAAAGTCGTTGCACCATAAACTTCACTAAATCCCAGAGGTATGTACAGTACTGTACAATACATTATTTTGATTGTTTAGTTATGGCAACGGAACACTCGGGCGATCTGCCTGGGAGGGATGCCTTCCGGGAGGTCTTTTTAAGGGAGACTGGCTTCTATTTAGGCGTTACTAACGTGAAGAAAACCCAGAAAACTCCACTAATATATATAGAATAGAATATATATTTTTACAATTATATCCTTTTTTGTAAGAATTATTTTGTTAAATTTTTTGCCACTAGATGCGCTTCGTGCAACAAATAGAATGTAGACAAATTAATTGATATATAGAAATCTAATCAATATTTTGTGGTAGGATGTACCGCATTATCTAAGTTAAAGTATGCGAACGGTGAACGTAACTACCAAGTTTCGTAGGAATTGGTCGAACGGCTTAGGCGTGCGTAGCAAACAAACATCGTCATTTAAATATATAGATGGATGAATAAATAAATAAATAGACAATAACTTGCACAATATAGAACTTTATTTTTAAAAAAAAAACTATGTGGTGGTCCAAAAGTCGACTAGCCAATGTAAAGACTAAATTGTCGTCTTAAGGTTAATCACCTCTAAAGCAATTGACAAATTTTGTTGCATTGTGTGGTTACGTGTCTGATAGTGTGAATCCAGCTTTATTCCACTACTTTATAGCTTGCATGTTTTACAAAAACATCGTACGAAATAAGATTTTTCTGGTTTCATACTCCGATACAGTTGCAAATTGTCGAATTTGATTGAAAAGCGCGGTTACCCGACTTTTGGGCCACCCCGTGTACTTCTAGTCGATAGATTGAAAACTATTCTTTTAAATTTACGAAGTTATTCGTATAGTACTACAAAATATAACCAATAAGTAACGTTCAGTATGATAAAACTAGAAGGAAACATTACGCGCGATATACGATCTACCAAAATGGCTTTCTGGCGTTGTCTCAACATCCGATTCTGATTATTGATCTTGGGACGGAAGTTTGAAATTCTTTCTTCTTCCTACAATAAACGCAATCGATCGATTTCCGAGCAAAGGTAATTCGATATTTTAAAAGTTTAAAACGAAATAAACTTACGTATTTTGTTATCTTATCCGATTCTTCTAAAATGACGTTGACCAGAGCGTACTCCATGAGTGACAAGAAAACGAAAACGGTACAGAAAGACATGAATATATCGATAGCTTTGATGTAAGATACGGGTGGAAGAGATGCTTGACTCTTGGCGTGTTGAGTAGAAAGTGTAAGAAGAGAAGTTACACCTAAGGTGACTCGAGCGGGTACCGCTTCGGGTTTAATCCAAAACGAAACCCACGACATGATGACGATCAGACATGTCGGAATGTATGTATGAAAGAGATAGTATCCCAGTCGCCTCTTTAGCGTAAATATCACTTGCAAGCAAGTGAAGTTACCTAAATGTAAAGAATACGATTTGCGTAAAAATTAATTTAAATACCGTAAGTTTAATGTAAAATACTATCGAAAACCTGTAGAATAAACTTGAGTGCAATCGGCTTTTTCGGTTTTTACCAGATCCAGCTGTGGTAATTCGATATTATCGGCAACTGCTAAAGGAAGATCGGCATCCCAATCGAATATCAAGTCGTCCGTAGTGTGAGACACTAAAAAGTATTTTTTAAAAAAAACCATATAAAATGATGTTAATTTTCTAAGAACGTAATTAAATTTACCACTTACGACTTTCCATTTGAAGGGAGCAAGTCTGAGTATCGTGAGGATAAGATGCAAAGTTCATCGAACACGATAAAACCAACGTTAACCTATTAAAAATCTAATAAATTATAAAATTTTGAACTTAGAAAAAATTATACTTTTATTTCCTTAGGCGGGCTGCACGATACGTATCTAAGCGATACGCGATATTTATCTTATAACCTGGGTATATGAGACTGTGATCATCCGCAGATAATGGATAGACGACAAAGTAGAAAGCCGAAAATTCTTATTGCGTGGGTTAATTCTCTTTACAGTCACATTAATAATTGATCTATCTACGATTTGCGGAATCACCGTTTCTCCCGAAGTCCCCAACATTAATCCGCATCTGTCACGGCGGTATAACAATTTAAAAATAATCTTTATACTGTAATTGAAATAAGTAAAACGTTTGATGTTGAGCTTACGCAGTCTTGTTTCGGTTCGGTTTAAATAATGGTTACAACCAGGGATGCCTATACATTGGGGCACTCCAGGCACGTGCCCGCTTTTCGTATTCTAATCCTCAAGGGGTCCAAACGAAAAAAATTCGCGATTTCTAACCTATTCTGCAAGCATAAAAGAAACTGGTGAACGATATTTGTCCCATGTATGTTGACCAAAACTGCATTCCTTGTTTACAAGGCCAAATGCAATCAGCGCTACCCTGTGCCAGCACTGATTTGACTTTGAATCAGAGTTTAAAGCTTACATTTTACACAAGTTACGGCCGAAGTTTTCATTTCTAAAACGTGAACGTTGAGCGCCGCCATCTTGTAAGCCTAGAAGTTTGACGACGGCGTTTAGAACATCGGTGGAATCATGCTCGACGTTTCAAACGCCATTGTCAAACTTCTAGGCTTACGAGATGGCGGCGCTCGACGTTCACGTTTTAGAGATGAAAACTTCGGCCGCAACCTCTGATGTACGATGCGCTTTTTTATAGCTTGTGCCTCTGTTTTTTAGTACGCACCACTATAGTATTGAATTCACTTACTTCAGAATAATAATAAATTTTTCAGATGGAGAAATAGCCAGGCCTGATGGGTATCACGCTTTTCAAGGTAAGGTGGTACGAGTTGCAATAGGAATTGGAAACTCCCAGGACTCGTTCTATAAAATTCTTTAAATTTTGTTTTGTGTCCAGACAGTTCTCTGGAAATTAAAGCGGAACTACTGGCACGTCAATTAAATTATACGGGTGCACGCAATACTTCCTTTTTTGTTCTTCGAATGCCAATATACCACGACAACGTCGTCATCACACGAAGAGCTCTTGTTTAGAACCGACTCGAAAAATGTCACCTGCCGAAATTATCTTAAGATAAAAGTCGCGTATTGCGAAGATCGTACGGTCGTGGCGTGCAACCAGCCTTAAAAATCGAATCCACTTACTTCACCATATACAAAATTCTTTTATTTTTATAGAGCCAAATATAATGATTAGGTATTGTCATCGTTTGAAATGTAACTTGCTTAGCATTTTTAAAGAAAGAGTCCGGTCTCCACATGTTCTTTAACCATTCCACTTCTATTAATCTATATTCCGACGTCATATTTTCGGGAAGACGTAATCTGTTATCTTCCCACGTTTGGGCGAAAAATACATCCGCTGCAAAAGTCTATAATAAATAACGAAGATTTATTCGTGCGTCGCGTCATTTAATATTTTAAATATGCAATTTACTCACCATCGAACCTTCGTTAATGGAATCTAATCCCATAACTGTTACGTGAAAAAATACTATCGTCGGTTTTCCTAAATTAGACAAATTATACGTGTGATTTCATTTTTTTTTTTACGTCAATTACGCATCACTTTTATTTTTGAACTAGACTATTTTTTATTTTTAGAATCTCTAATGAAACAAGTGTGTTAATAACATAAAAGCATGAACTTTTTAACACCAAAAAAGCAGCACTAATCTCTCTTTTTATTTGATGTATTTCTGGACAACCAGCTTTTTGTTGGTATGTTTTACCAACAAAAAGAAGAGTAAACCTGACTGTTAATAGGTCTAAGAGTTTTATTCGTCAAGCCCAGGACAAGATTGCCACGAGTTGGGTGGTGACGACCCGATTCGTGGCAATCATCTTGTGCTGGGTCACAACAATCGTCAAGTACCGTCACCGTTAATTCCGAGCCCCGTCAGTAGAAGTTGATCTCTGCCTTCAGGATGCTAAATTTAGACCTGGATGCAAAATTGAAAGATGCCTAATAGTAAAAAAATGTCTTTGTCTTATTC